TAAAAATATTCGCTAACAATATATTTTATTATTGTAAACTCCTACGACTATGGTTTCTTTCCTTAATTAATCGCGATAGTCTAGAGGAAAATGGTGAAGGATGTTGACTTGAACGACTGAGATACCTTGAATATCCTGACCAGAATTCCTTACAGTCATGGTGCCCGCAATTGTTAACACTGCCTATCCCTGTAACGTTAAGACGAATACTGATCCGATTTCCAATTCTGCTATCATCTTATGTTTATCGGCCGCTTATCAATCGACACATGAAAGCCAACAATTAATTCCGGAGAGATATATCGTGACGATTTGATAGAAATCTAATTGATTCAGATAGATCGCCGGTTTCGACGCAGCCCGTTGAAGTCCTAGGGGCGAAGACCAAACGATTATTATCAGACATAGTAATCGACATCGCCAACGACGCGTCGCAACGCGACGTTGTCATTGTCACACCATAATCATCATAATCATAACGGTGAAACGCTGGATAATTGTCATCTCATAATTGGTGTCAATGAAGATGACACATCCCGTTATCGGAAAAGATAGAGGAATCCGATAATACGTCATTCGTTTATAAAAAGCATCTGACACCTGTATCAGTAATCAAAAGAGATCATTACTCATTTGAAGTCATCATCGAACACGTTCGAATCTCCGACTTTCAATAGGCTTTTCCTATAATAATAATTAGGTGGTTCTGATTTATGTGGAAATATTCTGTAGATTTTTCTAGATTAAATGATACGGTCCAGTTAACATCATGGCCATGTAAATATGTTTAAATAATTGCGAACGTGAAAAATACAGTGAAATATAGACTGGTAGTAAAATTGATGTCCGTTCGATTCGATGTAATTAGCGGGTTTAAAAAATCACAACATATACACTGATTATAACACGTATATGTAGGATAGTAAGAATTCGTTGATTTTGATATTGACCAATATTTAATCTCTATACTTCCGGTGGGGTCTGGTGAAGCCGATGAATTTTATCACCTGCAATTCAGTCATAGATAAGAATGTAAAATAATAATGATATTTTGGTAAACAAAGGAAGTACTTCAGACGTGTGTTAAATCTACAGACTACGGCGTTCGCGTTGCAACCTGTTGTAAAACTTTAATTAAGAAAACTCAATAGCTCAATTCTATAAAACAATTCAAATGAACTATCGCAGTTTGGTGCATCCCACGCTACTTCTCATTTCCCTAATGTTACGGTAATTATTGTCAACTCACAATGTACTCATCATAAAGTATGTCCTCCTATCTTTAATATCAACTCTCAAAAATAACAAAATTTCAACGAGGAACCATTGAAATTTCATTTCTTACTCAAACAAAATTTTATTTTAGGTGATTTTTGGTGAACACTTGGGACGCCGCTTGTGGCAAAATCTTGAAGTTCAATTCAGGGATCCGTGTAGCGCCGATGAATCTAGTGGCAAAACGCATAAACTGTTCGACAATTTTACCGACAGAGAGTTAATTTCCGTAGATTCAACGTGTGGTGGCGTCTGTCCTGTCATCATTTACAGATAGCGCCACCAATTATTTCTGAGGAGCGCGTACGCACGCGCACGTACGTCGCATGGTGTAACTCGGCTCTAACCTAATGATAGTTTAGCTAACATCAGTATAGATACCGATACCTCAAAATATACTGGTGTTGAAATCGAAATTAATTTTGAAATTGAAACTGAAATTACAATACAATTAATTATATTACGTTATATTAATTAAATTACATTACAATACAATTTTCTACGTAACCCAGATTTACAAGTAACACAGCCATTTCTTTATATTCCTAGTTTCGCTGTAGATTGGGAATCAAAATTCCTACTAGAGGTTTTGGAATTGTTTCACATAGTTTTTAATCTTTTATGTCGGTAAATTGTTCAATAATTCTAATCCTTTAATAATTCTTAGCACTAATTCTCTAAATCTCTGAGTTCGAGAATTTTTTATAGGTAATTACTAAATTAAATTTGTAGTCTTTCTATGAGAATATGAATGCAAGTTTTAGCTTTGTTTTCCGAATTTTTAAAAGTAAAAATCATAAAATTACGAAATTATTCGTTCCTTTCGAAAATTCTTCTTATACATATAGTAGAGCACGGATTGCTGTCCGTCACAGTTGACAAGTACTGAGATGACTGAGTTAACAAAATTTTATTGATTCAGAAACTTTAGAAAGTATTATCTGAAATGTAGCTTATGGGTTTTCGAAAATTTTAATAACTGTAGAAATGGTCGTCGTTTCAAGGCGTTTGTAAATACGCTACACATATTGTGTGGTCGAGAATCCTACTGGGCGAAAAGTACAAGTCGAATATCGCGCTACGTGTTTCAGATGGAGCGCCAGGCGTACGGATGTGCAAAAAGAGTGAGACAGCCTAGGTTAGGTTCTCGTTCGTGTGGATACTCACACATAAAGTCTGCTGGTTTCGTTCTGTCTCTCTCCTGTTGTCTTTCTAACTACCTTTTGTTATCATGTTTTTCGATGTTTATTGGTATCATTCCAAAAAGGAAGATTAAATGCTGTGCGCGAATGTCGAACTTTTACAAAAAAAATCATCCAATGGCATAAAACTGCTTGGATACCATGCCTTCGGCATCATCAATTTTTACCTTAATTCCTAAGACTTATATTACTAAATTTCTGCATAATTCTCACAAAATCTGACATTCGCGCACTGCATTTATCCTTCCTCTTTAGAATGGTATTATTAAACAGCGAAAAAGATGCTGATTTATAAGAGAGAGGTAGTTAAGTGTCGCCCTGTAAACCCATGTTTTAGTCTCATTTTGCCGGAAACTGTGTCCTCTACCTTTATCTCCTTGTTAGGGAGATAAATTATTAAGCATTATTTTAGAAATTTCGTATTATTGAAAGTCTCCAGCCTCTCGTGAAAGTCCCTAGTCGCCTCGAAGAAGTTTTTTGAAAATTTTATAAAAACAATTACAGATCAACAATGGCCAATTAAGAAGCGATTGTTTAAACCATCGCACATCAAGCGAGTGCAATGTTTTAAGTATCTTTGCCAATTGATATTCGGCAGTCACGAACGACAAAACGTGTTCCTAGTCCCTTATATATTTGTTTATTCAAAATTCATTGTTTATTGATAAAAATGGCGCCCGTGGAAGAGTAAGCACACACAATTGGTTAGATATTTTGCTAGGTCATACAGCATTATTCCAGAATTGCAGAATTTTTGTATTTTTAAAAGGCTCAGCCTCTCATAAAAGTTACTAGGCGTCTCAAAAAGTTTTTTTGATATTTTTCGAAAAGGATAAGTGAGCGATTAAAACTAATTGGTGGGTAATTATGGGCAATTAAAGAGCAATTTTTTGAGCTTTGTTTCATTAATATTGGTTAATATGGTGACCCAGCTTCACACGGGTCCGCTGTCCTCATCTGGTTTCATGATTTAGGGGCACTACTGCAATTGTAGTTCGCGCGGTCCCACACAATCGAAAACAGTTCGGCTGGGTTCGGTTGTGCACGGCGCTGTTGGATACGTATGAAATCGGGTCGAACCAACTGAGTCAAAAAACCAGCTGTAGAGGAGGAGTGAGACGCGCTTGATTACACCCGTCCGTTCCGTACCAGAAGTATAGTGAGCAGGCAATATGGGATTCGATATGACCCGATTTCAGGGCGAAGTTGACCAGGAACTAATTTGTGCGGTATGCTCCGGCGTCTTGGAGGATCCAGTCCAGGTATTGTTTTCTGTTTCGATTGTGAACGTTCCGAATGCTCGCGATCCATCGGTGTTGTACTTTTACATGAAACTAACCTCACTTTCATTTCTACACAATAATGTTCTATTTCCATTGATTAAGACAATCTTGCATCTACATGCTGTTCTAATACAAAGTTTTTGCGACTTTCGTTCTGTCAAAGCGATTGTAACCATTAGCTTTTCTACTCCAATCGTTTCTTGTTTCCGTTTCTTCGTCGATTAAATTGCACTACTTATTCGTGCGTGTCAATTATCCTTAACAACGGTTACTGAAAACGTTTGGTTTGGCTTAAAGAATGGTAGGTGAGCAACATGTTGCAGGCGCCTGAATGCGAGCATACTTTTTGTCGTACATGCATTACCGAATGGATAAAAAGACAAGCCACCTGTCCTCTGGACCGGACACCCATCGATTCCACTCAACTCCGAGTGGCCCCCAGAATCCTGAGAAAATTGTTGGCCCGTCTCAGCATCAGCTGTGACAATGTCATGCACGGGTGCCAAGAGATAGTCAAGCTGGATAATTTGGTCTCGCATTTGGAAAAATGTGAATATAATCCTGACAGACCCATGCTTTGTGAACAAGGGTGCAATGTTGTTATTCCTAAGAACGAGCTGAAAGATCACAATTGTGTCAGGGAACTCAGGAGCATCATACACTCGCAGGAACAGAAGCTCATGGACATGAAACGTGAGATGGTTATACAGAAGTTACAAATAGCAGAGAATAAGAGGGAAATACGCGTGATTCATAATATTCTTGGTTTACTGAAATGCGGACCTATGCAAGATGTAGGTATAGTTAGACAAGAGGAAAGGGAAATTGCAAGGTGGTCTGCCAGTCTTCCTCCAGCAAAAATAAATAGGTGGGGCGGAATGATTTCCACACCTGATGAACTGTTACAGGTAGATAGAACCAATATCTCTTGATTCTGCTAACAGGACCCCTAAATATTGTTTTCATTTCAGTCGATGGTGAAAGGAACACTGATGCGTGCTGAATGCCCACTTCATGCGATCGATCAGCTTATGGAAAACTGCCACGAGAGAAACTGGCCATCTGGTTTAAGATCTCTCGAAACCAGACAGAAACACAAGCGACTGTATAGCGGCTACGTTTGCAAACGATTACCCGGCAAGCAAGCAGTGGTGGTCCTCCACTACGATAACAAGCACATGCCAGCATTCATGATGGCTCAACCTGGATTAGTGATGATATTTGCGCATGGTATCGAGTAATATTTTGTACAGACGCTGTACTATGCGCAGAAGATATTTTGATGTGCATTTATTTTGTTGTTTGTTAACAATCATCCGTGATTAATCTTCAAGGAATATGGAGATATCTTTGTAATTATGAGCAAGTACCGGGATATTTACTGGAATATGTCTGTATTATGCATCTGTGACACAGGATATTGTCTAAAAAGTATTGATACGAGCAAACGGCCGTACGCCATTTGTGATAAAACAATTGTACAGTTACAATTGCCATGTAACAAATCTATCTAATTGATTGTCTGGATCGTTACACTGTGATATACTGCAGTAGTGACTCTCGTAGTGCCGCACAGTTCAGGGATTCCAGACCGTGAACCTAATTTCTATTGTCATGAATCCTCAAAAGTAGAACTCTCATGAACCAAATTCGGATTGCCAAAAAGTGATTTATTTGATAAAGTCGGAGGTAATTTCGGATAAAGTCTCAGGTGGTGTTGATTGGGGAATATGCACTGCGAGAATCACAAGAGCCGTGCATTATGGAAGCCATTATTGTACTGCATCGAGAAAGTTCATGAAATTGCATGACAAATAGTCTGCAGTTTTTCTACTTATCACTGGGAAAGTAAATATTCTGTATATGTACATTTCTGGAAATTCGATTCTTTAAGCACAATGAACGGAGCAACTATTTGTCAACGATTTCAAGAAATTTTTTTTACACACATAGAAATCTATAAGTGTTTACTCTAATACCTTAGACGTGTAAGTAACAGATGAATAGAAATTATCAGTATAGTAATACTTTTAAGATTTGAATGTGTTCTAAAAAATAAGTTTTAGATGTGAGGAGAGAAAATTTTGTTCTTGCTTCCTTAACACTATTTATATGATTCGAATAAAGTATTTCTATGAACACGTACACCGAAAGACATATATAGAGCAACAATCGTGACTACACGTATGCATTTCACATATAATATTGTGTGCACGTTACTTGGTTCACTGTCGCAAGCATTTGTTTATTTAGTTTTCGTGAAGCGTACAATTTAAGAGAAATATTTGTTTCCTCGGGGTTTAATAAAAAAAAATTACATAGTAGTGATATTCTATTTACTTTTTCGTCTTTTTGCACAAATATGTTATTAAATAAAATAGAAATTATTAAATGTCACCATGTGTTGTGTCACATAGATTTTCACGTCATTGCACCGATACACCACCAAATATTTACTTATATAATTGTGCTTAAAATTTGTTATGTTTTCTGGCATAATTGAAAAGTGAGCTTGCAACTTCGATGTACTACATAATGAGTAATTGATTGCAATAATTTTTATAATGTGATTTATTACTTCCTAGACAATTATAAAAAGAAATTTTCCGGTCCATTGTGATATTGACTTTACGGTCATAGTACTCGGTACATTAAAGCATCGACCAGCACATTTTTCTTGGAGTTCATATGTGTACTCAAAGATTATAGGCAGCTTTATACACAGGTTGATAGTTGTTATGATTATAATGAGTTTGATCTTTGTGTATTGTAAGTCGTTTATTACATAGTTTATTTTATTTTACGCACGTCATAATAAAAAAATATGCAATGAAATGGGAATTAAATAGAGTATTGCATCCTCTTTTCACACTACAACGTGTCTTTAAAGTATGTAAATTAACTACTATCAATTTTCTCTACTAACGGTAAAATGTAGTTTGTGTAAACTTTATAAAAAAGACTGAATCTGTAAGTATCCTTAATTACAACGTTATTAATTGACTAAAAACGCATTTACTAAAAAAAAAAATTATACAACTCTTTCAATCAATATTACATAACTTATGACTGTTATTATAAGTATAATGCTCTTCTTTGGTAGCGTGTTATGACACCATACAAACAATTACCATTAACTTTAAAATCTGACAATTCACTTAACATGAATTACAGTATAACAGTTTACATGTGTGCTTAAATAAGCATTGATGGTTACGGTAGGGATATGAAGTTCAATATTCCACTATAAATGATGGAAAGATCATAACAACGTTCAGTCTTTTGTATACCCGGTCGTAGTGTAAATAATTTTCTGAAAATTCTACAAAATACACACTGAAAATATTTGACATTCATCTTTAAATCGTTCATAATGGGTTAGCCCTGAGATATGGCACTCGATGTACGACGATTCCAATTTATATTTAATTATCTTAGTTACTAATAAAAATATACATCTTGATGATAAAAAGAAAACAAACAGATACAATTGATAGGAATCGTTTAACTCTATGAGTATAAGTCCAATCGCTATCATACAATTTTTTATGATCTGTTTTATGTCACGGATTTCTGAGATTATTATATTGTTGGACATACACCAGCGATAACCTGTCCATAAGCACGTTCTGGACTTAGATGTATAGGTTGCATGTTAATGTGAACGCTTGTGATGCATCCAACATATTGCGTCTGCGAAGTACTTCCCCTCAATCTCTTCCCAAGCATCGGATGGCCACCGATGAAAATCGGGTGTTTCGATAGAACTCCTGCCACATTTTTACCACTGATTATACCAGGCTGTGCTGCTTTATGATCTACGGACAACAGCACAGCGTTCTTCTGTTTGACAGCTGCAAATTAAAAATGAACAATATATATTTTTGTATTTTCAATTCATTGTTAAATTGATCATTTTTACTTAATTTCTATTTATAAAAATTGTTTGCATTACCTCGAATGTTGTGCCACTTCCCATCGCACAAAGAGTTCGGGTTCATGGGTTCGAATGAAGTCTCTATGGTGCCTTTCGCCGTTTTCACGAGGAACTTCACAGTTCCGTTGATCATTTCCAGGATTAAATAGTCTCGTTTACCATGAACAGATAGCAGATGACCAGAAGTCGAGCGAGGTTTGATATCCATCTGAATGTCGACATTTCTGCCGACTGTAAATCTGTCCCCTGAAATCATATTGATTTATTATCGAATGATAGTACACAGTGGGTCGTTTATTTGTAAAAATAAATAAAAGTTATGAAGAAGATTACACGTACCTGCTCTGAACAAATTGCTCCCATTTCCGGGGTAGAAGAATAATCCTGATTCCACTTTCTGTGAGCATGGAATTACGCCTACTTTGTTCATCGGTTCACCGACTGGTTGTCCGTTCACCATAAAGTTGCCAAGACATCCGTTGAACGTCTTGTTTGTACCCTGATGCAGATAACAATCAAAGCTAAATATTAGTGGACTATTTGGCACAACACATAGTCTGCAGTATCCTTTATCGAAGTCTTTAATTTTCTTACAATCATGTTGAACACTTTGCCAAGAGTATCCTGCTGAATACCACCCACGTAGAAAGGCGGAATCACGTTCATGGTGTTCATGTTCCCTTGCGCATACCCGGTACTAACCGGATCTTCCTCATCAATGATCAGTTTGCCAGAACTACCTTGTCTCTTGAATTCCACCAAATGCCAGTGGTTGTCGTTTATTTTCTTCTCACTTACCAGCAACTCTGGTCCATTTCCACAATCGAACTTATAATGGATCTTAATAAATTAAAAAAAAAAATCAGATTCATTGTATGAAAAATAGATCATTCTCTACGTTTTCATGAACTTTACGTCAAAACGAGATCCACGAGTTCATTGAAATTGTTTACACACAACAGATACGTATATTTACAATATGGCAACAATCTCAAACATTTACCGGATTCATCTAGATACCAAGTATAATAAATATTTTCGCACCATTATCAGGCTTATCGCTTTATAAACGCTTTACCTTTCCATCACTGACGTATACAGCTATCAAATTCCGATCGTTCAGGTCAGAGGCGTAGAAAATGATTCCTTCTTCGGCGATCGTCTTCACGTCAATTTGGATGTCATAGTTGTCCTTGTACCTTCCATTTAATGATCTGTACTCCAGTCTGCTGTTTCTGGCAGTACCTGAAGAAGTATATAAAGAACTCCTGTCACTTTCTTTCGTTTTTACACATCCTCAAAATAGAGTTTTTTCTGCATCATACCGAATCTCCAAGAATTGTCTAATTCAGGATCAATTGCAGGATAATAAGGTAAACTACACTGGTCCACATAATATGGTGGTTGTGTCTGGGTCGTGGAAATTGTTTCGGTTGTTGTAGTGATTTTATCGTGATAATGAACACGTCCCTCTAAACCAGGCTCCTCGTCGTCTATGTCTTTTCCCAAGTCAACATCGATAACATCTGTCGAGTTTAAATGATTACAAGTTTGATTATCCGATCGCTGATAATGTTTGACATATTGTAAACATTATCAATAAGATCGTACTCACTGATTGGGGTGGACACTTCAATGTTATCGTCCGGACTTTCCGTGGGTAGCAGCGGAGGCAGAACGTCTGGTTCTGGCTCCACAATGGCAGGTACACCTACATGAGGTAAAATTACTGTTCGCATCAATTCGCAAGATAACAAGCCTAATCAAGTCATAAGGAGAGATTCGCGGTCAACATACCAGACGGATCTCCGCCTTTGCACTTCCCTAAGAAAGCACGAGGCCTTTCTGTAGTGTTTGCAAAATTGATAATGACTCCGTTCAACGTTGTATCTCCAATACAACCCACAAATGGCGTCATTTCTCCAGTTGGTGGGATACCAAATGTAGCGGACAAACCGCCAATGTATAAACTACCGAGAGGTATGTTCAGTGTTGATGGTGCTATGTCATTAGTGTAAGTCTTGGTATCATCGATGTCGAGTTGCAACGAGTTCTTCGAATGAGTCGCCGTAACCACGTGCCACTCGTTGTCATTGAACTTGATACCGGAAGAACTTGATCTGAGGGGCTCGCTCAGACTGTTAAACACCAGAACTCCATCGATCAGGGACAAGAAACTGACCGCACCAGTCTCTGGATCGCTCACATAGAAGATCAGACCGTCGCTGGCCAGTGTCTTAAACTTGAGGTTTACTTGGAGCGTGTCCTGCAAGGTGATGTTTGGCCACTTTACGTAGCCCGGCATGTTCTCTTCGAAGGACACCAGACTGGCAAACTATGCAAAACAGAGCTCAATAAAGTCATCAAGATTTGTTGACTGTCGAAAACAAATTCATTCTAAATAATATAGAAAAATTACCCTAACTGGACAGCCTGGGATAACTCCAAATGCCTGAACATTGCGGGTCAAGTCAACCACAGTATCCAAAATGACGACATCGTCGATGCAACCCTCAAAACCATCGTTGGTCACCTGTTCGTAAGGATGTCTGGTATTGGGAGGATATCCTCCAAAATAAAGATGATCAGAAGATACGAGATTCTTGTTGTTGCCAAACGCTTTGCTGCTGACCATGTCAACACCGTCCACCTTTAGCACTCCCATCTTCTCAAACCTCAGTGCTTCCAGGTTGTGCCAGTTTCCATCGTTGTACTTGTTCACGGACGTGATATTGGTCTCTCCTTCCCCAAGGTCATATTGATAGAGCACGTGACCGTTTCTCATCTCTAGAGACAGGAACTGTTTACCCTTGCCCATCAAATAGATTAAACCATCCTCACTGAACGTCTTGAAGGTCAGTTTAATACTGAACTTCTTTTTATCAGGAGAGATCTGAGACGCGTTCTTGCTGAGGATGGCGTACCCGTGTTTATCGAACCTGTACCCGGTGCTGGGCTGGAAGTTGATCAACTTGTCTCTCTCTATCGCCTCATTCTGATTGTTCTCACCATCGATGAAATTCCAGAAAGACACTGGAATGTCGCCTATCACTAGTTCTTCCATCTGACCCTCGAACGAGGACACAGTCACTGCGTCCTGCATGTTAAACGAAGACGGATAACCGCCTACGAAAAGCTTCGAGTGTTCTTGATCTACGCTGAATATGGCGTGTGAACCTTGTAATACCTGGTCCTTGGTCTCTAATCTATCCTTTCCTTCACCAATGTCCTCTCTGACAATCAGTTTCACGCTCTTGCCGGTCCTGTCGACGATAATCTGCCGCCAAACGTTGTCGGACACAAACTTATTGTTAATAATCTTCTCCGGTCCGGATCCCAAGTCCATGATAAGTACTGGGTAACCGCTCTCGATCACCAATGCCATGAAATCGTGGGTCTTCGACCTAGAAATCTTTCGATTGTCCTCGTTTCCAAGGTATAACAGGAAACCGTTAGTATTGTTGGTCCTAAAGTACATGGACACTTTGGTGGACGTTGCCAGCAGAGGAAGGCTTTCAGGATTCTTGAGTTCCAGCGTGGTGTTCCTATAGAAAGTTAAACCGACCTTGAATCGATCCGCCAGCTCTCTCGCGTTTGCGATCTTGTTTTTCAATGCATCAATCTTGCTCTGTAAATCATTGCCTCCGGTTTCGATCTTCTTTTGACTATCATCTAGATCGTTCAACATTTTTGTGATTTGTGGCAGTTGTTTGTTAACAGTGTCTAACTGCTTCATCGCCTGTGAAACATATCGAGAAGTCTCAGAGATGTCCTTCGACAATTGTTTAGTGCCCTTGAGGTCTTCTGGTATCTTGTCTATGACGCCGTGTATGCTATCAACAGCATATTTAATGTTTTGCTCGACGTCCTTGGCTTGGTCCATGGCATTCTGAGCCATTGTTGAAAATGACACTGGAATGTTCGAAAGAACCTTATCGATGTTATCTAAAAACTCTTTGTTCCGTTTATTCTGATTGTATAAGGAGCTGGTATCATCCAGTGCATCATCCAGATCCTCTTGGCCCTTGATGTTCTCTGAAATATCTGTGGCCAGTCTTAATAAGCGTACGGAATCGTTCCTCGAATTCAGCATCCGCTGTTCTATACCATCAAACAGAGCGGTTACGTTGTTAGCAGCATCAATAGCCTTCGCTGTAGCATTCTCCGCAGCCCCGATAGCTGTTCTGATGTCTCTGTACGCAGAGACAGCCTTGACAGCGTCCGTATTCCTTGTATCGGTCAGCAAGCCATCCAGATCTAATGATCTATTGTAAAGGTTATCAGCGTGTTTACATGCCTGGATAACCGAGATGAGCTGTTCCTGCAACATCATTTCATTTCGCTCAATAGTCGCGTTTAATGTCGTCGTGAGATCTTCGTTTACGCTCTTCATCAACGTTTCAACATTTCCAGTCGCAATGTTCAGTGCCTCGCTAGCGTTTTGGTTGAGTAGCTTTCCGCCTATGATATCTTCATTTGCATCTGCGGCAGCGGTCTTCACCAAGTCAAAAAACCCAGTCTCGGCGATGATCCTAGACTCTTGGTTCATCTTGTCCGCCTTACTAGCCAGCTCTTGAGCCCTCCAAGTAATCTCAAGCAGGTCGTCCAGCTTTCCGGTCGCATTCTTGATTTTACTGCTCATATTCTCCGCGATGCTGGAAAGATTATTCACAGGAATGTTGTAGTCTAGCATCTCCGATACGAGAATATTGGCATGATCCACTTGATCCGTCGCTCGATCCCGAAAGTTAACGAAAGATACCTCTTGGATTCTCTTCAGGATCTCCTGAGCTTCTTTCAGTGCGTTATCTACCTTTGTACCCGTTCCCTGTTCGATATTCAAAGCAAGCGACTCCAACTCAGAGACCGTAGATGCGACAAAGTCGATCTCCTTGATTACGTCCAACTCAAAATTGTTCATATTCTCAAGCGTGTTCTCCGCAGCGAGCTTCCATTTCTCACCATCCTCCACCATGAAGTCGATTTCTCGTTTTTGATTCGAAACGTCTGACTTCAGCTTGTTCATTTGCTGTTGTAGTGGCAGGAAGTTCACTTTAGTAGGATCCAGCAATTCCACCTTTGGGTACAGGTCGTTCGCCATGTCGCTGATGAATTTCAATCGTTGATTGGTAAAATAGCTCTCCGCTACCGTGTTGAAGTCCTTAAAGACAGGGTCCAAAAGATTAGACAACTCGTCGGTGACATCCAGAAGGTCTCCTGTGCAGGAGTCGCAGGCGAAGCAGCCTTGACCTGGGATGAGAACATTTCTGTAGGGACAATGATCACATTTTTCACCAATCACACCTGGCAGGCAGGTGCATTGGCCAGTAGTGGTGTTGCAGGATACTCCGACCGAGTAACCGGTATTGCATCCGCAAGACGTGCATCCTTCAGGCCCATAGTTCCAGTATCCAGGAATACATTGGTCACATCTACGTCCAGTGACTCCTGGTTTGCACTTGCATTGTCCTGTAGAATCATTGCACTGGCTGCTCTCAGACGCTAGACCACAGTCGCAGGCGTCGCAGCCGTTGCAGCTGTCATAGCCATAGTGATCGGGAGCGCATCGGTCGCAGTTCTCTCCTATGACATTCTCGTGACAGAAACATTGTCCTGAGAAACTGTCACAATGTTTCATTCCACAATCTTTGCACACGCAGCTTCTACAATCTTTCCTACTGATAGCGTCGCCATAGAAACCTGGCTTGCATAAGTTGCAAGCTTCTCCGTAAGTATTGTTCAGACATTGTAGGCATTCGCCGGTGGTAGAATCACAAGCGCCCACCTGATTAGTATCAATGTTTCCTGAACATTCGCAGGGCTTGCAGAAGTCCTCGTACGACTCGGGGTTACCGTAATAACCTGTAGCACATACTTCACAACGTGCGCCGTAATAACCCGGCAGACAGTCGCAACTGATTTTGTTGCCCTCCTCGTTCACTTCGCAACCTGTGGCGAAATTGTTCGTCGCAACAGGCAAAGGACAGGCGCAGATTAGGCAATCTGTTGGGGTTCCTCCAGTCGCATTGCCGTAATAGCCCTGCTGACAGAACTCGCAATGGTCCCCTGTTGTACCATGTTCGCAATTCTGCAAATAGAACTTTTATTTAAAAAACTGAGAAATATTCAAATTAGCCTTTACCAGTTCCAAGACTGATATAAACAGCATTTGGGAAATTTTATTTTCAATTATTTCACAGACTTAAGTAAGTCTGTAATTATTTAGTGCAGTCGATATAATAGGAATCTGTGTCATTGTGTCGCACATAATTGAGTTCATCTCGATACATATACATATGTACTTCATATGATACAAAAAAAAAATAAGTAATATTCCATTCGAAACGTTCAATAAGCTCATTTCTCGGTTTAGAAACCGCGCTTCACAATTTAATAAAATTCCTTTCGAGATTATTAAAATTCTAAAATCATACCAAACATATTCCAGTGTTGACATCGCAACTGTCGGCATGCCCGTTACACTCGCATTTTACGCAAGCTCCATGGGGTCCGGACTGCAATCTATAATATCCGTATGCGCACTCTTCACAAGACAATCCTTGATAATTCGGTGGACACTGACACTGCTCTACGCTGTGGGCTGGAACATTATGAGGTGAATAGAATTCTGTCGTCGTGTCCAGAGTCACATAAGACAACGAAGCTGTGACGCTAGGGTTCCAATAGGTGGCCCTGATATGCACTGCTTGAAGATTCTCCAAGACAATCATAAGCTGTTCTCTGGTAGCGCTGAGTTTATTCTGCGTTAAGAAGTTCGTTTCTACCAGTTCCAAAGAGAATTCAAAGTCCATAAACGAAGGCGGTTGTTCCTCAGCATAGTAAAGCAAGATAATGTCGTCGCTCTGTAGTATCACGTCCGGTGCGCTAACCGCGTTGCCGAACGGTCCAGGGTTGTAGTGGGCCGTGTAATTCAGAAATCCCCCGTATGATGTCAATTTGCTGCCCAAATAAATGTCAGGCGCAGAAAAGTAGACCACTTGACCGAAGGTATCGTTTCCAGTCAAACTAGTGACTATGCTGCTTTCGTTGAACTGTCGTGGATCAGACTCCAAAAACTGCACACTACCAAACTTCTCGGTAAAGATGGCCAATCCCCATTTCGCCATATCAGACATGTGAGTTCTGTAGAGATCAGCTGACACGCATCTGGTGGTCTTGCCGAAACAGAAACACTTGGTGCAACCTTCTTCGTTATTCTCTTGAATATCGAAGGTACCCTCTTTGCAGATGTCGCAGGCAGATCCTTGAACGTTGGATTTGCAGAAACACTCGGCAGTGTACTGGTCGCAGATGTCGCCGGTAGTGCCCCTAGTATCGCAGTCGCACTTTTCACAGTGTGGAAATTGCGAGTAGCCAGGTTTGCACTTGTCGCACTGTCTGTCAACGATATTCTCCTTGCATTTGCAGGTGCCATTAAAGAGATCGCATTGTAAGTTGCCATCTACCACACCGAGGGGGGAACAATTGCACTCCTCGCAGCCAATTATAGGATCGAAACCATAAGTACCGGTTTCACACTGGTCGCAGCGCTCTCCGGTCACCCTGGCCGGACAATTGCAAGCTCCAGTCGCCAGCTCGCAGTAGGCAGTACTAGGACAGTTGCAGGGTTTGCAATTGGGAAATCCGTAGAACCCAGTCTTGCAAATCTCGCAGCGTCTACCAATGATGTTCGGCTTACAGGGACACTGTCCTCCGAATTTCTCGCATTCGAAACTAATTGTGCCGTTGATGTCACAATTACAGGGCAGTGCACGATTGTTATAATTAGCTGTTAACGAGAATATCGAGTCTCGGCAAAAACCTTCCTCGGTCTTGTTAATATAGAAATGATTGTAGCCGCATTTTTTAATAAACTCTTTGGTTTGATCGAACTGTATCTTCTTGAGAACCTTCTCACTGTACTGCTCACTTGGGATCACCAAAATGTAGTCTAGCCAGATGCCATTTTCAGCATTCTCTTTGAATGTAATCGCAAAGTTCTCTATCAGTTGGAACCGGATATTACCATCAGCCTGTTTAACAACACTCCTGCATCCACTGTTGCTGGGACAATGAGGTGCCGCCATTTTGGCTTCGTAAAACTTTCCGTTTTGCAGCAGGACGTCCAATTCATACTCTGGATAGTCCGGTTGATAATATTGGACCACGAAAGTGTAATCCCCAGGTTTTAGAACTTTAGCGTGGATATCGACCATCGTATTGGTGGCGTCTAAATAAATGAGCCTGGTAGTGCTGTCGTAGATGCCGAAGGGTTTATTGCTGGCCTCAGGAACCATGGTAACGCTTTCGAATTCTATCTTCTTGGCGTCCGCGGCACCTGGGAACTCACCTTTGACGCAAACACCGTCTTTCCTCACGCAAATGGATTTAGGCTTCACATAATCCAGAGACCATTGATTGTAGGGAATTGCTACTACAGAATCTATAGCAACATTAGATGTAGATTCTCCAGTTAAAATGAGACTAATGTAATTAGAGGGGAAGTTGATGACCGCGACTCTGCCGTAGGTGTCTGTGACTACCTGCCTACAGATACTGGTGTATTTACAGGGGTAGAGAGTAGCTTTTCCCTTGCCAACCGAGTTTGCCTCTATCAGCAAGGTAGAAGTCACTTGTTCCTTCTTTGGTGTGACGTAGGTTACCAGCAATACATGAGGACCTGGCTTAGAGACTCTCAGATCGAAGTGTATCTCCTCTTGTTTATCGTTGATCAAAGGTACTTCGTCTCGGTCGATTTCTTCTAGGACGTCTCTCTCAACGAAGTACTCGGTCAGAGGGATTCTAACGTTGTTTTCATTCAGGAATCCGCCGGCTCCGTGGACGGAGTTGAACCTGGTCAAGTTCAAGTAGCCGTAATGACGGCAGAGTCCTTTGGATCCCACCACACAAGGGATGTTCACGCCTTGAGTTAAGATCGAGGCTTCATAGTATTCGGATGGTAGAAGCACGAAATAATCGAGAAACAGAATCTTCTTCGTAGCAATCCTGAAGAACCAGCGTCCAGGATCCATCACCATGGGGACCGGATGATTACCTTGTACTCCAGCAACCGTCACGAACGATGGTTTAACCGATGGTTTAAAGTTGACTTTGAATTGTTGTTCTACTCCAGATGGGTTCTCAGGTGTGATCGTTATCGTACCCAGAATCTGCTCGTTGTTCGGATTTACGTATCTCAAGACCATTCGGTAAAGCGAGGATTTTTGGATGTAAACCGGCATGATGATTTCGTCCTGCAACCCTGAGAACAGTGCGTAACCTTTCCAACTATAGCCAGGGAAATGCTCATCGCTGAAACCATAACGAACTTCGTTATTGCTGGGCGTTTTGCCGCCTTCTACCTCGTAGCGGAACTGATGGAGGGTTGGGAAATAGTGAGCTTTTAATGGCTCATTACAAGATAGTCCAGTAACTCGAGGTTGACACTGGCATTGGCCTGTTTGCTTGTCGCAGATGGGATTCACTGATCCGCCGATGTCACAGGCACAATCTAGAGAATAAAGAGAGTTATTGCAAACATAGCTGGGTAATACGACGGTGACAACCACGACTACAGTCAATTAAAAGGTCACCTGAACAGCCAAAGAAGTTGCTTTCCTGAAGATTGTAGGTGCCATCCGTGCATTGGTCACAACTCCTGCCTGTTACACCCGGTTTGCAGGTGCACTGACCGTTCTTCGTGTCGCATTCACCGATGTTCCCAATCACGCCTGGTATATTACAACGGCATTCTTGAAAATAAATCAATGAATTAAGATGATTATAGGTGAATACCCCGCGTTTCAATGGTCTGTTCGCTATTCATACTATTCTTCTTTCGTAAATCCTCTTAAGGTATCATTCGCTTCAATGAAACTTTCAGAGAAGCTTAAACGATAATATTTCCCATTCAGCTCACCTTCGCAACCTTCAGGATTGTAAGGCTGCAAATTCCAATAGAGTGGCTTACACTGGTTACAGATTCTTCCCTCGACGCGGTCTTTGCATTGACAAAGCTCGCCAGCCGGCAAAGAACCGCATCCCTGGAAGGTCTCGACGACACCTGCTGGGTCACAATTACATCCCTCGCAGGTGGGGAAATTGTAAAATCCTTCCTTGCATTGGCTGCACCTAGATCCGTCGAAATTCTCCCGGCACTGGCATTTGCCCTCCGCGTCGCAGGAGGCGCCTATGGAACCATGGCTATCGCAATCACAAGCTGCAATGAAAGAGGTATTGGTATCATCAAACTTCTCCGAAATACAGACCGAGCATTATTTATGAATTTATCATTCGTATTCCATACCGATGCACTCCGGGTACATATAATACCCGGGGCTACACTGATCACAGGTTTTTCCAGCGAAGTTGGTGAGGCAGGAACATTTGCCTGTCACGTCGCAGCTGATGGACGACGAACCCACCGTGCTGCAGTTGCAAGGTCTGCAGTTCGGGTATCCGTAGTATCCACTGATGCACTGATCGCATCTGGCACCTCCGTATCCTTCTTTGCAGAGACAAGCGCCGCTCAATTTGTCGCAAATACCCGGTATGGTTCCACGAGCGTCGCAGTTACAGACTAAGAAAGTTTTGTTAACAATTATCTACCAGTCTATTTATCAAACATATATAAATATAATTGTCTTCCCCTAAATGCGTACAAGAACAGACGGGATAGTTGAAGTAGCCATCTTCACAGATATCGCAAGTGCGGCCGCCGTAGTTGTTCTTGCAGGTACAGTTGCCAGAAATCACCTCGCAAATATCGCTGAGAGATCCCAGCGAGTTGCAGTTGCAAGCTGCAATCGTGAGAAAAGCCTCTTTTACGAGTATTCTTTAACAAAATAGAATTGTTACCAACTTTGTATTGAAAAACAGTTGCTTACGAGAACATTCGGGAAAATTGAAGTAGCCTTCTGCGCATTGATTACAGTAATGGCCGGCATAGTTCAGCTTGCAGGGACAGGAGCCGTCGATCGCCTCGCAGTAATCACCGTCGGTGCCGTTCTCGTTGCACTGACACGGCTCACAGTTTGGATAACCAAAATATCGATTGTTACAGCTGTCACAGTTCGGCGATTTGTACTCTTTACGACACTCGCATTTGCCCGTCTCCTCGGCGCAGTTTCCGGTCAAATTGAAGTTGTTGCAATTGCACGCTGTATACAGAAGAAGAAAAAAACGTGTCATTAAAAATCCAACCGGAGACATAAGCTAGGGAAACGGAATTTTGCTCACGTTGACAAACGTTGGTGGCGTTCAGGGGCATGTCACGGGGCCTGTAAAACGTTGGCTTGCATCGGTTACAGTTGATGCCTTCGGTGTTGTCTCGGCAATTCTGGCACCAGCCGCCACCCTCGTAGTTCCCGTGGATGTCCAGTGATAGGTGCTTCTCGTCGATCTCTGCATCGTACTTGCATTCGTCCGTGTGACCGAAACAGTTGCAGGCTGACGCAGAAGAAACGGTAATTAAAACTAGCACTCGGAGCTGTCCGTCACTAAATCATTTTGCTCACGTTCGCAAGTGAACTTCTTGAAAGCCGTGGACTGCCGCCACTTCTTCTGCTCGAAACCCTTGCAACAGTTCGCGCACTGAGGCCCGCAGGTATTGTGCTGGCAACTACAGAAGAGTTTCTTCGGCAACTTCGGATCCAACACGTCGCAGGTGTCCGCGTGCCCGTTGCACATGCACCGACCGCCGATGCTGATGTCTTTGATCGAGTAAAAATACTAAAACCAGAAGAATTTCACGTATTTCCGATTTCGTTATAAATGAATATTGTTGCGAACGATCCATTTTTCGTTAGTGTCAAGCTAAAGTTAGATCTCCGAACAGTTACAGAATTCTTTGCGTATTTTCTCTTTTCATTCCATAATGGTCGTTCGTCAGAAACGAGTTCGTATCTGTTCTAACGAGATACCATTTCCAGGACACTCACCCTCCTCGTGACAGTAGGGTCCTCCCTGACCAAGGACATCAGGTGTCCCAGTAGGTTCTTCGTCCTGAGGAACCGGAAACGGACGTTGGTCGCTCTGGTCCATTCTTGCAACAGAGTCGAGTTGAAATAGTGTTTGGCGGAAGGACGGTTGTTTAAAATGGAAATCGGTATCTCGCCGCCTTCCAGTGGCACAATCTGCGAGTACTCGATCGTGCAGGTCACGCTGTCGTCCCTTATGATCGGTTTTGTGCTGTCCACGCCGAAGTAAGTCAGACAATCGGCAGCAGTGTCAGAGAAATATTGCCAGGGCGACCAGGTTTTCCCGTAGTCCTTCGATTTCTCGAGTGCCCATAGCCCAGGTCTCGGCGAATTCCCCATTTTTATGTAGATATAAGCTACGTGGAACTCCTGAAGAGAAAACATTCTTGGAAACCTGCTCATAGCTTTCTTAATTGCGTTTTAACAGCTGAACTAACTAGCAGTCAAAGTAATTATCAATTATTGATAAAAAAAATTCTTACTGCAAAAACTCAGACATTAATCATTCCGACTACAGTAATTGACGCCTCAGATAGTACACAAAAATGGACAATTTGGGAAAAGGAGATACGATTGTTCGAGTCTTGCGGCTCGTTTTTATAGTTGTTTTTATAATCTCCGCTTTCCAAATTGTCCATTTTTGTGCATAATCTGAGTGTCAATTAGGGAGAATTTACTGTATCGGCAGACAGTTGTACGACTGTTTGTAATTTTCTTTTGGACGAGAGAACAATACATTGTCTTCCGTTTATTTCCACCGAGGACTCTCTGCGGAAAACAGATGTTTTAGGCAAAAACGATCGACTGAGAAACAGATGTGCCGGACTGTCGAGCTTTCGGAAGCGTTACGATCATGCCTCCGCTCCAAAATTCCCGGACACGTGGTCGGGAACACGCGCGAGAGAGAGGGAGAGAGAGAGAGAGAGAGAGAGAGAGAGAGAGAGAGAGAGAGAGAGAGAGAGAGAGAGAGAGAGAGAGTAAATGAGTCCTTCCGAGAAACCGTTTAGCGAAAAGACAATAACCTCCGAGACGGGAACACGTTCGCTCATGTTTTCCGAGGCGTGAAATTTTCGCCGGGTCCTTTACCCTTTTTCTTTAGTTTTCAAATATTTCACAAACTAAGAAACTCCAGGCCTCGTTCGGCAATTTACATTTCACTCGCAATCCCAATCTGTGACTCTATTAGAGAGCGGATTTTGTGCATTCGTGGGAAGAATTGAATGGATAAAATGTAAGATTTGAAGGCACGGCAGCTAGAGACGTCACAAAAATTTAAGAATTTAATTTTTCTTCTTTACAATCAACTCAAACAAGTTTTGTCACACAAAGATTCACAGTCTGATTTTCTTGCATAAAATACAAATTTTTTGAATGAATTAAATAACAGAAAGGAAATGCAATAGAACGAATCGCAGGATTTATAGCGAGCATGTTGCGCGAAATAAAATTTCCATTATGTGTTTAATTATCTTCAGTAACATATGCTTTTATTGTTTAATGTCTCCGGAAAGGAAAGTAAATATCTGCAAAATTTTTGCGTGAAAATTTGTCGAATATCAGGTTGAACGAACGAGAAAGAACCGTACCCCGCTCCCTAAAACCCGTGTTTTCTATTGTCCTCCGGAAGCAAAGCGAAGATAATTCTTTCCCGCTTTGCAGGAAAACGCCTACCGCTTGATAAAGCAATTTGTTACAGATAAAACGCTTACTCCACAGGCTCATTATTTCCTGCTGTCATTAATTCTCTCCCTTTCAGTCTTCGATGCTGTCCTGTCTCAAACGCGTTCATAATAAGCGATCAATCCAACCAATTCAAACCGAAAATGCTTCCTTCTATGATTTGTATTAAATAACTCACATAAACGGACACAAATCTTACATTATAAAAACAGTGTCTGAAACTGATGCACGGTGTACAATGTATACATAACACTCCGATACTTTCAAAAACTGTTGAAAATACAAGAATTGTTCACGAATATTTCGCTGACTTAGAAATTCGGCGAAAGTATTTCTAAAGTGTTTCAATGGCTTCCCAATATTTCTAAAGAATTTCAATAGCGTAACAACATGACTTATTGTATATCCTACAATTGTCCGTAAAGCAAAAGAAATAGGTGTACGATACTCCGCCACGATTGCAATTTTCGTACAGTTGGCCATAAAAGTGTTCGTATACCTTTTAGAATGCAATTACTATTTTAAAACTGAACCAAATGACTTGAATTTTTGTTCGATGATAGAGGGACTAGTCTATACTACTAGACGATGACTGAAATCCTTTCTTTTTTTAATTTTGTTATTACTTGGAATGACAAAAAATAAAAATCTTGATTTTTAACTTTTTTATCTGTTCGCCTATAGCGAAGATTAGAAAATATCTTTCGTAGATCTCGGTAACTTATATGCATGTTGAAAATATTATCGAAATCGGTTCATGTTATTATGAGTTACAACAAATTAAAGATCGCAAAAATCGCAGTTTCATCACGATTTTAACCAAAAACTGTAAGAAATCTGCAGCTTTTAAAATCCTTCAAGGCCTGTAGCTCGACTATAAGTTAACCAATTTCGATCAAATTTTCAGCACCGAAATCTACAAAAGACTTTTTTCTAATTTTCACTGTAGACTCAAGTATAAAAAAAATTAAAAAATGAGAATTTTTAATTTTTTCTTTTCATTCCAAGTAATAGCAAAATTTAAAAAAAAAAGCTTTTTAGCGGTCGTCTAGCGGACTAGTTCCTGTGTCATCTAAAAAAAGTTCAATTTTAGTTCAATTTTAAAATAGTAATCCGTTTTAAATGGTGTACGAACACTTTTGTGGGCCACTGTAAGTCTGTGTGTAAGAACTCGCAGTCTGTTACTCCAACTTATCGTGTTTGTTGTTCAAATATTAAAATCGAACGTCAAAGAATCTGCCGGTGTGTCCCCAGCGATCGAACACTTACCTGTCCCAGGTTGATCGTCAGGTTCACCTCGTTGTACTTCATTCCCCTGGAGAGCGGCGGCGATTGCCACCAGGTTTCCATTCCATCGACCGCATACTCCGGCGGATGCTTCTTTTCCGGGTTCTCCGGATCGCAGTAATCGCATACCTGTGCACAAGTATGAACAACGGATTATGTTTCACATCTCCGATGAGATTGTCAGTCGTATCGAGGCGAGAAAGGTCAGCAAGTCGATCATAAAGAGCCAGTGATTTCAACGCGTGGAATAGCGTGTGTCCTTTACCTAACGCTTTTTTAACATAAAACATTCGATCTACTAAAGCTCTGCACTGTTTCGGAAAATTGCATTCATTATTTGACTACCTTGTACAATCATTTTCCTCGTATCGAGACGCGTCCATTCATCTTGCAGTCTCGAATCATCGAAATCTGTTCAAAAATTTCACATGATCTGTTCCACTTTCTCGATATTTTTATTATGCATTCATATTTGCATAAACATCCGCAGCCCGGTTATCGCGAGTTACTTAATCGTTACAGAAGCCGGAGGGAATAACAATCTTAAACGTGAAAGATGATCGCGTTCATAAATTCTGTTTCGCTGTGACTCAACGAAATCAGTACTATAAATAGATCAGTAAGCGATCCAAGCTCTCCGAATCTAATTAGAAAAAAATATAATAAACTAGATGATACATGCATCGAACATGCAAATCGAACTATCGACACTATACTAACTTTCCGAAGAAAAACTTCTGTTTTCCTTAGTAATAATAACAACAATTATCTTTATCGCTCGCAAGGAAAGCTGTGATAAGCGTTGCACGTGTGTGCGCAGTGCGCGCTTGTGCACGGGAAATCTAAAAATAATATTAGCGTATACGGAGAGCGAACGGGGAAGGCAGGGGAATAATCAATTTTTTTCTCTAAAAAAAACGTTGCACAATCGTCGAGGAATGAATTAAATGCGACGAGTCACGGATTTTTAGAGCCACAGATGAATCTTTATGGGACGCGCGCTCGTTTCAGTTAGACCGCTCGGAATTTGAAGAGAGGAGATGGTCAAGTGTTATCGAGAGGTCACCGTTATCACCTGATCCTTATCAACCCTCTCACTTCTAGTCTACATGACATTTTCTTTCGCCCGCGTAAATAGATACACGTAACACGCCGTAGAAATGGCTGCCATTGACCATGGGGTCCTGGGCCAATAGGCCAACAACCGAACATTCCAATGGATACAGTATGCCCATTCAAGACTCCAAAAATTATAGCATCGCAAATTCTACTCCGCCAGACTATTAATTCACTTTCATTCTGAATTTCTTTGAATCGAGGAACCTGAACCTTTTCGAATGAAAAAAATAGGTATCGTCTACCGATTCGAGATAATCACTATCGACGGGTCAACCATCGGCCAGGGAATAGAACGCAAAGCAATCTTCAGTTGTCCCATTGTTTGCTATTTATACATATACTGTCATTCCGGTCATTGCGTATCGAAGATACGCTACGCTAAGAATCACGGAATGATAAATGTATTTGCACACTCTAGATTTCGCTGAATTTCCGCTGTGCAGGTATTTCAAATATCTGTGAAACGTTTGCGCAAGCCTAGACACAATGCACACCAACTAAAACGCTGTTTTGTGTAAATTCGTTTGCTCGAACGGTCGGAATTATGTGCTCGTAGCTTACTAAGACTAGGTCAATCCTCGGGATTGATAATCCACGAAACTTCTAAGAATTATATCATTAGATTACGATAGGAAATCGAGAGCAATATTTTCCTTTCAATAACGCTTAGCGATTTATTAATTGCATTACGTCGGCGTTAAATAGTAAAACGCAACGACAAAGGAAAGGAAGTTTCTCGATGATCATCCATTCCAGATATCAAGAATCGCGAGCCTAACGCGAGTTCACGATCTGAAGGATCATTTTTGGCGTTGCTGCGAATAGTAGAGTGGCACCTAAGTGGAGCTGCTGCGGATCCATCGCCGGGAAAGTCAGCAATATTTTATCACGGTTCGTCGTAGGCGACCAACGATAGACTAGATTACTAGGATCTTCCGGACTGGTTCTCAGGAAGTCTCTAAAAAAGACTCCGGCCGAAATATCCTTGCTGGAGAGGCCCCGAGGGGCCCTCTTTGTCCCCGATTCACAGGCCGACGGTTCTCACAACAATGTCCCGGGGTAATATTCGGCGGAGAGGACAGCGATTATCGTCTAGCATTACTCCGGTAATCTCTGCGCACTCGACGGTCTCCTACGTTTACTCGGAATCAATTACATACTTTGATATCATTAGATATAACGAGTCTTCTTTCTTTCTGCGTCCAGAAAATTGCAAGCCATCTTTACACGTTGAACGAACAAAGTCAAGGTAATTTTTCTGCATCGAGAATATACGAAGCAAAAATAAAGAAAAGTGTGTTCTCTTCGCTTAGAAATTGCTCGTAGTACATATTTTTAATTTGCAAAACTCGTAAACGATATAAATGTATAAAGATCAGAGATCTTACTTAACAGGTTGCATTCAACAAAGTGTACATGGAATTTTTCACTTGTTGGGTAAGAATGTTCGTAAAGCAAAAATAAAATAACTGAGATGTTGCAAGAATTTCGAGCTGTTTAAATTTTTAAGACTTTTGTGAGCCGTCTGGTTATAGAGATCTGCGGTGAAATTGTCACGAATTGCTACTGCCAGGCTACAGGCAAAACGGTACAAGAAATGCTACATGAAACAGCTAGTTTAACAACGCGAGCCGATAAATTGGCGGTTCTGTATCGATAATTTCCCGAGGAAATCTCGGTTCGTAAAGCAAAAATAAAATAACTGAGATGTTGCAAGAATTTCGAGCTGTTTAAATTTTTAAGACTTTTGTGAGCCGTCTGGTTATAGAGATCTGCGGTGAAATTGTCACGAATTGCTACTGCCAGGCTACAGGCAAAACGGTACAAGAAATGCTATGAAACAGCTAGTTTAACAACGCGAGCCGATAAATTGGCGGTTCTGTATCGATAATTTCCCGAGGAAATCTCGTTAGGATTACGTCAATAATTAAGGTGCATAAGTTTGTGGACCCCTTTCTCGGTGACGCGATTCTCGACACATGGCCCCGGTCGCTAATAGTCGCTCGTTACGCGTCGATTAATGAAAGCTGTTCGTTCCCGTATGATTTCATTCACGCTGGCTCGCATAAACATTTACCGCGATCTTCCCTTATCGTGTGCGCCAAGGCGATACCGTTGCGGGGATAGTAACCGCTGAAACGACACGCGGAGAGAGAAGAAAGTCATGCGCTGGCGATGATTAATCTGCTCGTGGCACTATGTATACCAGGGGTGGACAAACTTTTAATTGCTACGGGCGACCTATTTTTTTTTTTTTCAAATTATAAGCGACGGTCTAACAACATCGTATGTGTTACGTGATCATAAGAAAAGGTAGTAATTTAAAGTCAACATTAAGTTTAAATTTAAAATAAACATAGATAATATCAGACAGGCGGCCGACTAAGAATAGTTACGTTTTGACCACCCTTGATGTATACATTCAAATATACGTATTCTGCTGTTGTCCGGCACAGTAAATCATTCGCTTCAATCTCGGATTTTTGTTTCGTGGCTGGTAAACGACGAATAGGAAGTAGTTGAGCAAGCGACTGGTTGTCGTGGGATTGATAAACTTTTGGTCTTGAAGGACTAGCACAGATAAAATTCGGCTGGGCACTATGGAGCTGAGTACCGAACAATTTCGAGCAGCTTGCAGATAAATGTTAAATATCTGTCAAAAATAGTCGATCGAACGTGGATATCAACTGGCAAGAATCGGACTGAGGCTTAACTTTGCTGATTTCTCCTAAGAATTTTTAATATGCACATTAATCTGTTGATCTTTTGGTGTATCAAGAATTATACAATTCATTTTTCGTCTTATTTTGTAATTATGATTATTTTTTTTATGATTATTTTGTAAATATGATTGATAAACCGTTCGTTGACATCACAGCAATATCCTCTACAGCGCTAGAGGCAATATTTAACGACAGATAATGTTGATAAGATTGCAATCGCGGAAACTAAGCGAAAAGATATGAATCCAAATTTAGGCTAGTATATATTTATTTAATATATTTAATCTCGTGTCGGTTAAGCGTATCAACTAATATAAATATTTAAACGAGCTTGTGCGATACAAATATGTCTACATCGTTCGGTGCTAACGCTCTGTCCGAACAACATTAACTATCAAGCCATAGCTAGAGCATCTCGATAAGTGAAAACTTAATATTTAAGTTCGATTTGCAACAAACTCTTTGCTGTTCCACTTGTTTCTAAAGGGAATGCTCCGGTTTTGACTCTAGGGACCCTTGAATGGTTCCACGAAATATAGTTTGAAAACCACTGCTCTTAACTGAACATTGTTGTTCAAAAGCACCCGAACACTTAAGTAACGCCCAAAATTGATAAACGACTTTATAACAATTTGTAGGTATGTAGTTGCAATTAAGAAAATGCCCAGGTGCTATCAAGCTCGATTTGCTGGAAGGAAGACTTTAAGTTCGCAGTACGTACCTGTCCTTGTATGAGATTGATGTCCTCGTGCTGATCAGCGTTGGCGCCTACGAGTTTGCAGTAGAGTTCTGGGCCGGGGGTGTCGACGCCACACGTGGCTGACGCGATGATTTCCTTGCCCTCGGCGAGGTTGAAGTAAGGCGGCGTCAAGATCTTTGCCTTGGCCTGGTGGAGCAGCAGGAACCAGGCCAAAGAAGCGGCCAGCAACCACCTCGGCATCCTGACAGTGGAGAGAGATCAGGCCCGCCACCGTCGGTACCTCTCCGTCGTCCTCGATCCGCACCGCGTGTCCTTTTGCCGATCCTGCCAGCTAGGAGAAACTCTGTCCTCTACCTCTCTATCCGTTTCTTCCGCCCTTCTCTAGCTCTCCCCCTCTCTGTTTGTCTGCCTGTCTCTCTCTCTCTTTTCCTTCTCAGGAGAACACCACGAGAGAGACGCTCAGTTGCTGATGGTGCTTGAACGGCTTCTCAGTACAGACTGACAGACCGGAGGTCACCGAGGACCGGCAGCCGGCCATGGTAGAGGGGCGGCGCGGGTGGAGGGTCCCATCGTGGTCCACACAGCGCCGACCGTACACACTTTCAAACCATATGCTATCGTTGCCGTCCCATGGACCGTACACACGTATGGAACGGAGCATTGTCTCCGCTTTTCACTGGGGCCCATTTCGGGGAACAGTGCGAGAACTCGGGCGGCTGATTCTTGATGGATCGGGAAGGGTACGGGGTTGTCTAGTTGGTTTCTGATTGGAGGATTGTGTACCGGCAGAGGAAACTGTAAGACACCGCATTGCCAGTTTTATGTCTTTATATTGGACGGTATTGCATGTGGTCAGTGTCGTTCGATGGGGCTCGTATATTCATAAATCAACCCTTGTGCCAGCAAGTAATGGATCGTTCCATCGGTATTTTTGAAAGGTAAAATAATCGCAACCATTAATGTTGTGCCCCTTCACTTTTCTAGTAAGATACAATAACAACAATCTTTTCGAAATTTTAGATACAATATATATGAGAGACCAATGATTGTGATTATGTGTTTATATTTCATCTTCCAGGAATGTAAAAGGAAATTTTTCCTTCAAAAAGCTACTAGGAAATGAAAAGGATTACGGCGCGGTATAAACATGATTTTAAGAAGAAATTACAAGACGTCGGAACTTATATTTTGAGATCAGTCATTCAGTAACAGTTTTATTCAACAATCCTCTTCAATCTTGTAACTAGACTAGGCATAACTTCAACATGATCGAGTATTGAGTATTGAGTATTGAGTAAAATTAAGTACATGTAATTAGGTACACCGTCTGTTGAAAGAACGTCAGGTCACCGATATACAGTTAATTTAAACACAGAAAAAAAGATTTTTTTTAAGAATTTGAGTATATTGAACCAGAATCTATATCTTAGAATTTCCATACCTTACCGTAAGTCTACAACGTTTCAAGTAAATCGACGACCCGATTTTGCGCTCTTCTTATCAGCAGAAATATGACTAAATTGACGACGCGGAAATGTCGAAATCGTTCCAGATTTTTAATTCTGTTTCACAGGTTGCATTCTGTAGTAAATGGCGGAAACCATGATGCTGGAGCTTAGTAAGGTTGATATGATAAAATTTCCTAGCAGTAACGTGTCGGCCGAATCCATCCATATTGTGAACACCCTCGCTGTAAACATAGAAAAACATTAGTGCGGGTGATTTCGGACCCGAGTTAAAATCTTCTGATATTAATTAAAATGGATGGGGAGAATCCGGAGACCGAGAACTTCCGGTATCGTCGACTTACTTAGGTTCGTGAAGGCAGAAATGAACCACGTGATCGGCGACACAGAGTCCGCGTTTTTCGCACGCAGTATAGCGAGCAATTGAACGATTTTGCTCGAAACAGAAATTGGAGTACACATTGGCTGCAAATCATACAAATTTCCGATATTATTGAACGCGTGATTCAGAGACATTATTAAAACGATTAATTCATTATTAATTAATCAACCAACCGCTAAAAACGTGAGAACTACTTTTGGAATGATCTGCAGTGCAAGAGAAGCACTTGTAATAAAATAAAATCCTGTGAACATTATAGAAAATGTATTGAGCTTATTTAGGTGCTTCAGGACCAAAAAAATTAGGATATACTCTTGTAATAGGATAATAGGGTACTCCAAATAAGACAGCACAGAATAGCCATTTGTATAATTATAACTAGTCATCACTGTATAACTGAAACAATTGAAAAATGTTGGCCAGAATTCATTTATTATGATACAAAATTATTATTTTTTTGAAAGTTTACCTTGTCAGTTCTAGTAAGAGACCCACAACTGATATCTGATCTGCTGACTTGGAAGAGAGTAAGTTTAGAATTTGAGGAATTTTCAAAATGAAACACATGCCTATCGTTATAAGACTCAGGAAGTCTGCCAATTGTTGCAGCACCATGTTTGTCAATTGTTTATTCGGCTGGTCCTATACTTGCAATATGAATTTTTTCAATATGTTCACGATAAATGTTTTCCATACAATTGTGGCATAACGAAACTTACGTATTAAATGATCATTCGATTTTAAACAGATACGTCGATAACGTTACGCACACTTCGCTTCAATGTATTTATCGGACTTCAACATTTTTTTCTTAAATTATCGTTTGAACAATCTGCAGTGTTGCACGTTCGCACAGTACTGGACTGTCAGTGCTTTGTTACTATAAGATTCTAAGCCCGTGACAATATTACTTTAATACAACTTTTTCTGCTTCCGGTATTAATCTTTTTATGGCTCGCTTGTGTGAGAATTGTCACATCCACTAACGCTGACGTGCAGACGACAGCGGGGACGTGGGTGTCTTACATCTACGTTTACAATGTGTTACGCACACCCCAACCATCGCCAGGAATGTTTAACACTTGCATAATCACGCTCGCAGAAAGCACGAATACATAAATAACAAATTAGAATTCATAATTGTTGGGCGAACGAACGTTGCCACACCACCGCAACGTCATCGCCGTCGATACCGTTGGATACCGTGTTTATTTTGGTTTATCTTTATTTGGGGAGTTCGTAGTTATAGAGTTTCTGATACGACCTACCAATTGCTAAAACATTAATAATCCCCATTGTCATGTTCCTAGATAATATTTCAAGGAAAAATTATGAATAAAAGCACAACTGAAAGATAAATTCTTTTAAGAATAACGTTAGATTGTTTTGCAAATGTTCTGTAATCGATACTGTGTAATAACAATTGTCAGTCGCTTTATGTGCTAATATTTCAGTTTTTTAAATGCAGTAATGAATTTGGAAAGACATTTTTAACGACATCTATGATCAAATGCTCACGTTGGTTGTCAATTGGTTACACAGTTTATACAATAGATGGCGTAAAAATATTCTAAAAATAAAATTGTAAACTATACATTAAAAATTCATTACGTTCATTACTCAATAATAAGTATTATTTTGTGTTTCTTAGTAGATGCTGATGATTAAAAAGATTTTTAGGGATGTATTTCATAGTATGAAACGTTAAAGAATATGGTGGTGTCATCTTACGTTAACAAATATTAGAAGATTGAACGTTCGGACACGGATGGCACTGTATGTCTCTCTAACCTAAAGACCCTCTAATGGTCTTTACCCTAACCACATTTAGTATTTAGTATTATGTGGAAAAAAAATTAATTATACATTGTAAACGAAGCAACTAACAATTGTTAATTTACAATATTGACATAGGGGTATAGCTGCATTTTTCGTGTATTTACGTGTACTTGTAAGTAAATTCAAAAATTAATTTTTCAAATGTACTAAAACTAACAATCTACGAAACACCGAAATATTTCTTTCCTGTTTTAAGTTTTTGTTTTATTAAAGCAATTGCTTTGATTTTACTTGATTTCCATGATTACACGGAGTCAATGGTCAAGCGCGAATTATAGTTGATAAACCAATATATCGACCACAATCGTAAAATCTTAATATTTTTAAATATTACTCGACTTTGATATTAGAATGCGAAACATTCAAATTTTCGTCGCAGCATAGTTGTACAGTGATTAAAAATCGTCAAATCGTAGAATGACAACTTTTCAACTTCATTCAAAATCAATGAAATCTAAGCTACAAATTCCTAAATGCTCGGACTAAATTTTATATGAGAAATTTGTACAAAATTTTGTACGTAAATAGTTAACATATTAGTTGACTAGGGATTCTTGTTGAAAATTTACAGTAAAAAGCTTTATTCACACGAAGGAGCACAACAATACTAGTACAGCTATTTTTTAATTAAATACGGTATTACTAAACAATATAATTATTAATTTTAGGGTGATGAAATAATTACTTATTAAATAGGCCCGCTGCATAAAAATAGTTATTAGAACAAAACCCTAAAACCCAGAAAACCCAGGAAATCATTTCACTGACAACATATAATGCACAAATGACAATTATACGAATTTTTTCCGCGTTTAGACGATTTTGAACCACTGTAAGTTGATTCGAAAACGAGCGCACCAAGCAGCGTAACATCGTTTCGAATTGTGCAACCGCATTGGTGGCTGCAGTTTCTCCTTTCGTGAAACGCATCGTCGATCCCCAGAAAGTACTCGAATGAAATTCTTCCACGGCGTGACAGACGGAATGCGGGAACGGGACTGACATGGAGTCATCCGTAACGTGAGGGATCCGTGTTTCTGTCTTTTAAATATCGATTTGCTTCGTTGTGCGGCCACTATGTGACAACGATGAGCCGTTTCTCGACTAGCCGCTACGTCCATGGGAATTACGTGAACGCGACCGAGCTGCGAGTAACCTAGCAGCAGACGTACGTAAAATCCAATTCTACTCGCGGAAACGTCAAACGTAGTCCGAAGCTATACTATCCGCGACGCAAACATCAACCTTGCCGGGACGTTGAAGCGCACCTCGCACGGCGTGCACTTTAGATCAAAATCACGAGATATTTCGAACATTTCGCGTTCAAGACGATTCAAAAGTGAATCACACCGGTGGACAGACAGATATACGTTCCCCGCACGGCCAACGTGTATCTAAATTCGATTGTGCAGCGATCCCAAGACATATTGACTTTATGTCATGTATCTCTTGACAGTGGCAAATACTTCTCCAAGAATATCTTTCTTCCGCGATCTATCTTATTCCCACAATGCCTAGTTCCGCGAATAAGTAACGTCATGCGATTAGTAATCGGAGGTTAACCCTTGAAGGATACAGGTTCGCATAATTTTTTCATCGAAAAACTTATCTTGTAATCGGTTTCGTATGTCAATTATTCCCTTTCATGAAGAGACGACTTTTAAAAAAGAAAAATCTATAGGAACTCATTATTTGCAAGCAAAAGTTAACCGTTATTGCTTCGAAAAATGAGTCGGAGGACACGGGTCCCAAGTGACCCAGCCTTTTTTACGCGAGGGTTAAATTTTCGAGACTCGACCTATCCGATATATTTTGCACAGAATATATCGGATATATTTTTAATTATAATTCATATTTAAATCGGGGTAGAAGAAAATCTATTTTATTCTTTAATTTAATTAATCAAGATTATTATAATAGATGTACTCCTTTCATGTGTTCACAGTTTCATATTCAGAATGGACCATGTGAATAGTACAAGCATGTATGCAAACATGGAGGTCATGACGCATTTGCGTATTGTCTGTAATTCTTATTTTCAGGTAAGACTTTTCTGCCGATTAGAAAGGATAATAAGTACAAAAGTCTTAATTTTATGGTAACTTTGTAGGGGACAATGTGGAACTTCCAGAAGTTTTGGCTACTATAAACAGTTTGTGAAACAAATATATCTACAACCATTGAGATGGACTCTCCACCGTCATGTTCGCTAAGCGCTACTGGACCTCTCAGTGATCTTGGTAGCAGTGGAATTGGAGGGTCCATTTCTAGCGATTCTGTAAGAGCGCATCTTGCAATCGAGGTATAACTTGTTCCTGATGCATCATATATAAACTGAAAATGTTTATCCTGACAAAGTAAATTATGTTTATTGTTTGCTTTAGATGCAAGAGAGCGACATAGAGAGCAAATCTTTGTCTCAAGATTCTTTCGACTACTCGGACGGCATGTGCGGTGAAAATTTTAATACGTTGAAAAAAGGACCAGGATGGCCAGACGCAGATGGAAAACTCGAAGTGGAAGTGGTCGACGTAGCCATTAAACCTCCACCAGAATTCCAGGACAGCCCCTCCCCGCCGAATTCAGAATCTTCGTCTGCACCAATTCTTAGTTATGCACGACTAATGCGACAAAAAGTTCCACAGCTAATAGACGATTACGCCGATAGTCTAGTACAATCGGTGATCGAGGAAGCTCTGATAATATCTTGCAGAATATCGTGGCCGGAAGGTAGAATAGCTCCCGCAACGACTCGCATACCAGTGGTAACACGAAACGTGCACAACCCTAAACGTTTCTGGGCGACAGACCTGCTGACTCCCTCGTCATGTCAAGGTGCCACCACGCTAATAACTCCGTACAACACGCTAAATCGTCCAAACTCGCGATGTTCTTTGGCTTCTTCTCGCTTGTCCAGTTCTCATAATTCTATAAATACCTCAGGACTGAGCCACAAGGCGGACGACAGCAGCTTCATAACGTCCGCCATGTCACACGACGTTTTAACGACCAGCGAGATCAGCGACATGTACAACGTGCCCTTCGACTCGGACATTTACACTGTTCCCATAGATGTGGTCAGGCCTCTGCATGATCTTAGGACCCCGCAGAGGCCCAAGCGGCACAGGCACCATCGCAAGAGGAGAAGGAACGTGTCCGCCAGTTCTCAGAGCGAACTGGAGGCTCACATACAGCAGGCGCGACATTACTGCGGCAAGCCCCGCGCTATCACCCACGTTATCAAGTCCCAGAGACTATTGTCCGATGTTTGTTGCAACGAGAGTGGAAACGGGAAACGCCACAGTGTCCCTGGGACGTCCGGCCGGCATGGCACCCGAACGTCCAACGGTCACATGCACAACATCGGCGAGCCAATTCACATGACTCTACATGAAGTGCGTCAGTACTTGCAGACACTGTACTCGAGCTCTAGTGATTCTAGTGAAAATAAACTGAAACGCGATAACAAGGCACCGATCAGTCACACGCCTATACACCTTGCAATGCCAAAAGGTATTAGTGTAAATAATAACAATAGATATAGCAACCCGCATACAGACTCGTCGACGGATATCCCAATCTCAAACAAAAATAGCAATGGACTGATTCACAATAACAATAATAATAATAATAATAATAACAATAATAATAATAATGGTAACGTTAAGAAGCATAAAAAGAACACGTTCGTTAGTATTAAACATAAAAAGGTGAAAGAGGAATCTCATAAGGAGAAGGTCGACTCCGAACGGGAGAAGATCAAGAAGAGCCAGCGAAACTTCTCGTTGAACCTGAAACAGACACTGTGCAATATCTTCAGATTCAGGCGATTAGGTTCACCGGACCACTTTGTAGAGAAACGGAACAGCATTGTACAGGGTGAAATCGTGGAAGAGGAGGAAGGTGTTGACTCTGACCAACATGCTAATAACAATAATACTACCTCGGAGGTAGATCCCTCGGCACAGAAGCTACCTTTTTTTAAGCGAGCCCTGCCGCCGTTGCCAAAAAGCAACGGTCACGTGGGCAGTGTGGAGCAAGCAGAGGATGCACTCACAACCATGGTGTCGAAACCCTGTGAGAGTCCAACTTCCATACCACAAATGCCAGCGCCTGCACCAAAACTCGATGATGAACCCGCCGAAGATACTAGTATGGATTTTGCAGCGAGTATCGAGAAAGTCAAAGATGTACGTCATTCATATTTTTACAGAGTCATAAGTATCAAATTCCCAGTCTAACAATAAGTAAAATATTTAAAATGTTTAGGCTAGGTGGATACACTGTAGATAAACATCAGTTTTTATAAAATACTTGTACAACAGTGATACAGATAATTCCAAGAAATGGTCATGACTTGGACGAATGCATTTCTCTTGGAATCAAAAATATTGTCTATAACTATCATTCTAAAAGTAGTCCAAATTCTGACCAGATCTTTTTACAATTAAGATCCGGAAATAACTGATTATATTTGAAACAGTATGGATGGTATTGGGGCCCAATATCCGGCGAAGCTGCGGAAAAGATACTGTCCAATGAACCAGATGGGTCATTCATAGTGCGCGACAGTAGCGACGACCATTATATTTTCTCTCTATCGTTTAGACTTAACAGCTGCGTGCGACACGTGAGAATAGAGCATGACCAGGGTAAGTTTCTGACTATCAAGGTAGAAATCTTGTTGAATAATTCTTTACAGAAGTACGAAGAATAATTTTGGAACATTTATATTCTAATTTTAATATTGTACGCACAGGTAACTTCAGCTTTGGTAGCTGCACAAAATTCAAATCCCACACGATCGTTGACTTCATTGAAAATGCAGTGGAGCATTCGCGTAGCGGACGATACCTGTTTTTTTTGCATCGGCGGCCAGTGTTAGGACCAATGCGCGTGCAACTTCTACATCCGGTATCGAGATTCAAGCAGGTTCAGAGTCTGCAGCACACATGCAGGTTTGTTATACTGAAGATGGTGCGCAGGGATCTAATTCCGACTCTACCTCTGCCACGACGACTGATCGACTATCTGAGCACACCGCACTATTACAGCGAACAGTTAGCCGAGCAGGACGACAGGGCTGAATCCCCTGTCAGCTCTTCCACCGGTGAATTAGAAAAGATTTGTTTCACTCCGCAGGGCCTATCGTGAGGTACAAGCGTGTAACATTTCGTTGTATGTTGTAAAATACTTGTCGAACGTCTCTTTAAGTATCTTATGGTTTTAAGTACAGTAACGGTTCGAATCATTCGAATCTCTCAAAGCGTTACTGCAATAAGATTTTACATACCATGCTCATTTTCACATATGATTCTGTTGAATGCAGTATCGTAACGGAAGATTCTACGTAGCCGGTTCTTCGTGTACGTTTGTACCGAATTTCAATTTTGAGAACACACACAATATAAGTCATCTTATCGAGAAGAAGGATAATCCGTTCCACGCAGCTCGTATGTAGGACTATAAACGACGTAGTTACTTGCATAAAAATGCTAGAAAAAAAGGAAGCTGAGAGGTCTAAGACGATATGAAATGAAAATTGTCATTTTTCAATCCGAGAATTCGTGTTCGCACGATTTCATTAAAAAATGCACAGATATAAAATTACCCCTTTTCTCCATTGTTGCTTTCAACGGTAGTCGTTGCAACGAATTCCGATGGATTTCGATTCCTTACATTCAATTTCAGTTCCTGTCTCTCATTTTAAAATAACCTTGCGATTCTATAATGCGATGAACATGTATGTAATATTCGTATATATTGATGCAGCGATCGAGTAGCTCCTTCTTGAGTGCCATATACCCTAACATTGCTATTTGGAATCAGGTGTCGTAATGATGAATGCATTCGCTTCCATTAAATACTCGTTAACGAATCGTCTGTTCGCCGGAGATCATTCAATTACAGTGTAACGGGTTTGCTAAGCGAACTCAAAGTCTGTAGAGCTGTGGGTGGACTTTGCATCACCCCGTTTACTCTAGAGAACACCATTGATGTATTCGGCTCGCCCCAACAATTTTCACTGACCCAGAATATTCATGTTCGCTCGGCAAATCTGTACACTGATCACTATAAGACTCTGAAACATGCGTTTTAATATAGCTAAACGAAAGGGAATACGAATATAGTCAGTCTATATCCCGCATTCAACGTTCGAATTTCATTAGGGTGATCAACGCGAAGTCGATGAATCGTTTTTGAACATTGATGCACGTACAAGCAATTATGGCGGAAAGGCAGTAGGCTAACATTTACATTAAGATATATTCTGGCGTATATAAAGCAAAAAAAACATCAGTTATTGTGTCTGTTAACCGTAGAAAAGTTTTCAATACGAATTGATTCATCCAGTTGTCGTGTCACGTTTTTAAGTTTAGACGTAGCTGCCACAGACTGATTAACTTAGAAGAAATATTCAACGAACTAATGGAATCATTAATGCTGTGTATAAGTATCTTCATCCAAGCATCGATCGTACTTTCTCGCCGATTATTCGTTTCGTTTCTTTTATCTTGTAGCTTTCTGAGCGTAGATACATTTGCGTGTACATAGATCGACTTTAAGTTTGTAATATCAAATCAATTACCGATATATATCGTCTATAGTTTTGCGGTTCTTCTTTTAATTGATCAGAATGTTGCATGCAGGGCGAGAATGAATTTTGCCAGTGTTGTGGGGTTCAAAAGAACGGGACATTTTAGTTCAAAAAATACATATAATTATACAAAGGAACTGAGACAACCGAATATATGTACAGGGTGGGTCGTAAGTCATGGTACAAATGGGGTTGAACAAATTCTATGGCTCAAAATAAGACGAAAATCAATTCAGGGGTAAAGTTGGATATCACAAACTGCTGTTCTAACATTCTTGCCATTTCTATCTCGACCCTGAGAACCATACCCCACTCTTACCCTCCATCCATTTGCCGGTACTGATCCATTCTGTGATAGTAGGGACCGCACCAGGTTTGTTGCATTCACTACAGTCTGTTTTTCTTTATTGTTCTGTTGCTTTTTGAAGAAACAGACTATAGCCATGAACGACTCTACGTGTTCAGATGACCACAAACAAGATTCAACATCGTGCAATGCACTAAATTGGATTTAGTTATATTATCGTTAATTTAATTTAACTCTCGGCCGGCGGCCCAGTACACGTACGATAATTGAAGGCAAATTTGACCCATTCATATCATGAAAACGCGACACACCGATAGGTCGAGGGATCGTCACTAACTGCGCTATGTACAGTGCTCTCACTCCGTAGTCAGTATAAACAAGAGAGAACCGCACTGGGTCAGATTTCCTTGTGTTGTGCAGAGTATTTACTATCTGCTTACGCACACTGTTATTGCGCCGTGATATGGGCCAAATTTGCCCGTAAAAGTTGGCTGCGCGTTAATGAATTACTACTTTGACCTGTACAGTTGACTCATTGAGTTCTCACTAGTTCTGCTTTTATTGCCGTACTAAATTTATAGCTATTAAGAACTCATAAAAATCTGAACGAACGGTGTTTTTTCAATACAACTTCACGATTTGAATAAAAACCAAAAATATCGGGAATACCCTCAAAGTATAATTGATGCAACTAAACATAGAATTTAATTGACTTTTTCGTAAATTTGGCTTATGCTTCTAAATTGTTATCATGTACCCTTTATTTTACATTAGTTCTCACCCCTAGATATGGATCATTGCAGTAAAGATTGCTTTCCTGAAAAATATGCAATCTTTCTTTGAAGACACTACTTTAAGAAATTTTGCATTTATTGTTAATATTGCAAAAACAGAGCTCACCACAAAGCGTTGGCTAATTAATGTTATATTTCTCATGGGGAGACGTTTTTATACAAAACGCGTACAGAACTACTGCTAGACGTTTTCCAAATAAGTTTTTCATTGTTCTGTTGCTTGGTCCTGTGCAGCTTCATGAAATGACGGAATAGCAAAGACCACGGTATACATTCTTGCTCAGAACAATGTTTTCTCCGTTTCGTTCGCACCCCTTTCCTTTCCGTGAACTTTTACAGTACTACAGAAAAATAAAATAATAACAAAAAAAGTAACAAATTTTATACTCAATATTCACGTGGTAGATTTTGCAATACGATTAACTAATTAATGGATCGTCTGACAAGATCTAAATCTAAGGATGAATCTAAACATAATGTGAAGCATGTGCATATAATTAACGGTTAAAGGCACCACGATACCTCAGCCGCAGAGGGAGGTATATAGAACAGAATTAGTACCATTTTATAACAAATGTATTTTACATTTAATATAAGTTGCACATACTGTATTCTTGTGAGGAAATTTAGCGTTTATCGGGAAGCGTCGATGCTTTATTTAAATTACATCTTGCTATAATTGAACGTTAACATAAAAAAGGAAAGAGAGAAAACAAAACACTATGAGGATTCTATGCCAAGCGTCTTTGAGTAAAACGATACGTTTAAGAAAAAAAAGAAAGGGAAAAAATGTTTCTTCTTGTTTCTTTTCTTCTTTTCTTTTTGCATAATTGTGTGCAAGGGGAAGTGTGTCATCGAATAGTTTTGTATTTTTATAATGCTCTCCGAACGCGAGAGCATAGCAAAAGTGTTGAATTCAATGTACACTTCTTCTACGAGAAATGTGATATTATTGTTAATGCATAAAAGCTTCTAATTAAACTGTACATTTTCCATGCGGTGGGAAAGAAGCCAGTGACGATCAGGGGTATAAAGAAATTTTTTAAAGTGTAAGTATTCTCTTCTAAATAGAACACCTTTGTATCAGGTTGTGAAAATGTATGGTTCATATATTTAATTAGGCACGCGCGATCGTAATCGATCTCTTGCAAAAGATGAACTTGGCATAGAGGAATAATTTCTTTATTGTATACCAAAGTTTAGATCTGTATTCACGGTACAGCATTGTCCTGTAAGCACTTGAACGTTTGAATCTTTTAGAAGTGCTTGTGCAATTAATATTTGTTAGATTTTGTTTGTACGAAGTTATTTGTACGCTTGTTTTTTAATATTCAATTTTATTGAAGTAAATAAAGAGATGGAATAAACGAGAGAACTGTACTATAACAAAGAAGACACAGGTACAATGTTGTACTTTGTCTATAACATATTGGTACATCGATCTTTATTATTGTTTGTTATATATAATTGACAAGTGCTAGTCATAAACATTGCATTTTAAGTTGGACTTCAGTATTGTTTACTAATAAATATCAATTTACTTCCGAACACTTGTATTTATTTTTTTTATCTTTTTCGTGGGTCTGGATATTATTTTTATAGATCATAAGAAACAAATTCTAAAGAAATGTGCAGGCTGTTTATAGCTATGTCTGTTTGTGTAATGGTTAACGATTATTTGTTGTAGTTACAGAATCATGTTGCATAATTTATTTATTCTAGTCTATTATAGTTTATCACCAAGTTCGATGATTATTAGAGTGAGGGATGCATGATAATCAGAAACCTATTATAAAAGCTTTTAATTTTGTAAATACTTAAGATAATAGAAAGGATGCTTTCAAAAATGCATAACATTTCTTCAGTGGAACTTTAAATTATGATGTACATTAAACAAAAAAATGAAACCCGAGTAAGGTATTTAAAATTTTTAATTCGAGAAAATGTGGAATTCATGATACACAAATATTCTATTATTCCTTCATAAGTTTCTGTTTATTAATAATAGAGTTCCATACAATTCATAATAATAAACCTAATTTCGTCACACTTTCCTTTTAAGTATATAAACCCCATCACACCCCACAAATACCTGCAACATGTTCATTTACAATATTACTCCAGTTTCATTTTTCTCCGCTTAAAGATAATGTGACTCTTCGCAAATGTAACAATGTATTTTTCAACATTCTAGTAAAATAATTGAATGATAAATTGTTAGACAATGATCACTCGGTATCGTTTCCATAATTGCAATTCCAATGTTTTGCACAATTATTGCGATTATCTTATGCTCGTGAGCACAAGAAGAAATATCTTGTTTCAATTAATATATTATGGTAAAGGATATACTCTACGTGTAAACAAATGCATATGTATTTGATTACCCATGTTTGTACTGCAATGTTGAAAATAAAATACATTTTTTGAGATTATTGGTCAGCCATCTTTTTTTTAATCAATAACAACGTATATCTTTTTAAGAATTTAGATAAAATTATATTACCTGTAAATATAACACATACAGTGCATTGACTTGTGTAAATCCTTAAATTACAGTTCTGTTTTCATTTGAAGAATGAACATCTTGATTCAAGGTGGGATACCAAGACTTTTCCTAACTAGTTTTTGAGCAATTCTCTCAAATTCGGTGCGGTCCTCTCTCCACATTTTTGCAGCATCGACATTTGCTCCACTCTCATCGTTTGGCTCAGCTAACATACTTACTACACTTAGCAATATTTTCTCAACACTTTGAACTGGGCTCCATCTTTCTGCACTGCTTTCATAACCCATTGGATCATCTCCTGGTGCATGTAATATGCTTATACAGACTCTGCCATCTGTGTAAACTGAAATTGAATTGTTATGAGTTTTCTGAAGTTTTTTCTGCATCATAGATTTATGATGAGAGGCTTACTATTCGGATGAAACATTTCGCATGTGAACTGCATTTTTGGTGGACTTAAGGGATAGTCTGGAGGAAATATTAACTTTGCTGGAAACACACCACCTTCGAAGCAAGTTCCTTCCGGTCCCCTGTAATATCAAAAAGGAATAAAAAAACTATGAACTATTTCAGATGTGCCATAAATATATTAGAGCATTTAATATGAGAGTTATCTTCTCTTTTAATCGAAAAATTTAGCTAGAGTAAATTAATTTAAAAAATTTATAAAAAATGAAGCTGCCTCTTTTTTGCTGCAAATCTTTCGATTACAAATATAAATGTTTGATTTATGTTTGTACATAAATCTTCTGCATTGTAAGCCTACATTGAATCAAAGTCACTTGATAATAGCATTTTAAATTCATAGATTTTTGCTGGTTGATCATATGGAAACAAAAATATAACATTCCAGTTTAAAAAATCATCAGCGGCCTTCGAATAATGGTAAAGGCAAAATTTTTCATTTACATTTTTCTCGTATCGTTAGGCAGAAATATAAAAGTACCATATATTTTAAGGAAATAACAGAATAATAAATTTTATATCTGTAGGATATATAAAAAAAATTTATAAAATAATTGCTTACGTGATTAAAGCTTCCCACTCGAAAAAATTTTCCTCGCTAATCGGACCAGCTATAATGCCTTCAGTTGGGTTTAAGGTTAGTTCTGCAAATCACACGATTTAGCTGTTATATTATTTTTCAAAATCGAACGAAAGTAGAAACAAGAAAGTTACACATGCGTTTAATCGGAAATCGGATTCTCACGTTTGTATTCTGCCATTAAACGTCTTAGAGCGGAACCAGCCATTGTTTTGGTCATGGAGATCAATGCTATTATTTGTCAGAACGTCGAGAGACGAGTACATATTAGGTTATCACATCAAGGATCGTCGACATTTATGTGTCGGTCTTTGAATTTTTCTTCAAATTCGGAACAGAACGGAATCTGTTCTTCTCGCACGATTATTCTACACCAGAATTGAGTCCGGAACGATGCCAATTCACAGTTCGAATGGCGACAGAAGAACATAAATATTTAGCGGATATTATAAAAGCTACTCATGCCACGTTGCGAGAAGAAGCTCAGAAGTATGGGCCCGAGATTGCATGGGAACGTCACATAGCTTGTAAAGATATCTTGCAGGTGCATTCTTTTATCCGAAAAAGTTGACCTTTTATATATTTAATTTCTATTATTCGCGTTCGTATAGAGTATATAGGAAATAGATGGGTTAGGCTATGTACATTTAACGTTTTAAATTCAATGCAGGATTTTACAACTTTTTTCACGATTGCTATGAATTTACCACATTCAAGGCTTTTCCAAAATTTTATTGACCTTGTTATGTTTTAGAAATATGCATCTTCTATGCAAAAATTGGCAACTACATATTGGGAAGAAAATAACTCGACTTCCATAAAAGCAACTCTCTGTAGAGTGCAGTGGGTGAAGTCACAATGTGAAAAGTATTTTTTAAATGGTGGATTACAAAAATACAATGAGAGAGAAGAAGATATCAAGAAGAAAATGAATATAGATTTTGTACAAACTGATGACTGCGTAAATAATGTCCTGCAAAGCAGCAATTTTGTAGATACTACCCAGAAAATAACATTATTAGATGTAGGAAGTTGTTACAATCCTTTTGTAACTCTAACTATATTTGATGTGACTGCAATAGATTTAAACAGCATTCCAGGACAAGTTTTACGCTGCGATTTTCTGAATGTTAAAGTTGGAAAGGAAAAACGGTTTTCAGCTGATAAGCAAGAACTATTGCAGTTACCAAAGGACTCGTATAATGTTGTTGTATTTTCCTTGTTTTTGGAATATTTACCATGTCCGAAACAAAGATACATCTGCTGTGAAAAAGCATATGATATCCTACAATCTGGAGGAATACTTTTCATTATAAGTCCTGACTCAAAACATGTCGGTGCAAACGCGAAACTTATCAAATCGTGGAGATACGTATTAAGTAAATTAGGATTTATGAGAATCAAATATGAAAAATTGAAACATATACATTGTCTTATTTTCAGAAAATGTATATCTAAGCAGGTTGCAGTAAGATGGGCAGATATGCAAACGACAGCCAAAAATGATCCTTTATATCATGACGATGTAGCATTTTTTATTCCTCAGGATTTTCGAAATACGTCCTGCGAGGACATACATGAAGAGAAAGAAATGTACAGCAGTGTAGAAAAGACTTGTATGTTCAATGAATTACCTTTTGATCAGACATAATTTTAAATCTGAAAAATAAACTTGTACATTTCGTCAATATACGTATATTCTCTTATTTCAACATTTGAATGCTTGGCGGCAATATGGAATAACGCTAGTTTCCGTTGAGCGGCAAATTTGAATTCTGTTGTGTAGAGATTATAATCAAATACGTAGTCAGAATGCCTTCGTCTACACACATTCACTTTGCATTTTATCATAGTAGCAGAAACGATGTAAGAATAGAAGAAGATGAATCTTGTTATTTATTATAATACAAGATATACGACATTTTACAGAAGTAATTCAGATACCGGGAAAAGAAACTTCCTATTTATGAATCATCAGGAAACTCGTATCCAAATACTTTGGCCTAATCGGAAAAGGAAATCAAGCAGTTACAAGTGTTCGTTCTGAAGTGAATATTGTAAGGCCTCAATTTATAATAAATGACGTACTTTAGTTTTGGCAGAAAAAATGGTTTCCCTGCTCGTTATTCACCGAACGAGACACCGGTTATCTTCGATATCACAGAAACAATAATTATTTTAATCTTTGTTATCATAAGCATCTCTTATTTAAGTATTATACCGAGTTACAGAAAAAGACAGGTAATAAAATACATTGTAAGAGATTTAACAATCTGTAAACAAATAATTACGAATAAAATATTTGTCTAGAGCATTTATGTGTGCATTAAGGTGACGTTCAGCATAACAATAGGATGTTCATTACTCGGTATGAATTGTTTTATACATTATTTATTAAAAATACAAAAAAATGTGTCATTCATTATTTTATGTATTTCCATTAATATTTACAAATTCATTTAAGATGTTCAAACAATTTTTAAGGTCACATTTGTGAACAAGGATTTCTCCTTAAAAAATTTACTTTAGGGAAAATTTGGTATGATAGAAATAAAGTGAATTTTAAGAGTTATCAAATTCGCAGTGAATAATTTCGGTCAAGAATGGGAGGTAAGCACCATAAGAACTAAAACGCCTTATAAAGCTGGTAGTGGCCACGAAATCGACGCTGTGATTGGCGTGAAAATAGGCCTGCGGTCACTGAACGTTACTTTGCGAGGTATTTTTTAGTAAAAATAAATTACCGAACAAATTAAGTGCAATATAAATATTTTCGATTGACTCTAGAAACAGGAAAACAGGAAAGACCATACGAAAAAGAAACTATTAATTACAACGAAAGATTCTGGTGGACGTGGGACCAAGGCAAATTTGGATTTGGCCCGCAAGGTATAAAATGAATAAATATCTCGCGTCTACCTATCGATAATCCACTAATTCTTCTGACAATTTCCACCATTCATTCTATGAATCATTCACAATTTAAGCTGGGCTTTTGCAAAGAAATTTTCGAGATGCTCAAAGGAGAGGTACACCAATCCCCATTCTTTTGGTCGTCGAGTACTTCGTTATTGATGGAGAAGGAATTCGATTCGGCAGATTTTACCGTACTGCTGGATGGTACTGTCACATTCTACTGTGGTTCGTATGATCATTATACTTAAAAATTAAGATTATGTGGTCTCCTATTGTAATCTCCCTTATTAAACAGGACAGGATTTGCCACATGGATTCTGGCAATCATATTTTTACAGAGCACGGCACGATACGCTGGCTATTTTCTTTGGATTACCGGCGGTTTGCAAATACTAACTTGCATCGTATGGTGTTACTTCCATAATCCAACGCCACTCGTTATACCTTTTGAAAAGGAATGTATACGACTATACTTTGGTCGACATTTCTGGATGACTCTCAGTTGCGGTAATAAATAAATTTGAATATCGCGCATGAAGAATGTATTGCCATGACGGTATTTCGCAACAATTGAATGTTTTCACTTTTAGGCATGCTATGCATACTATTGGCTGCAATATTAGTTTATATGGACCTTCGATATCCAAATGAATTGTCCATATTTTTGGATACGGATCCGCTCAACCAGTACGATGAATGCGTAGTGGGTGAGCAGTCGTATTAAAATTTAATTCTCAAGGTCACTTTTTCCATTCATTAATTCTTTACATCCACGAGGTATTACTTTAATTAAAGTGTTGCTACCTAGGACGGTTGGTTTACATTTTTATATAAATTAAACGATCAGGATATAAAGAGTTAAAGATTGACAGATTGTTTTACACAAAATTTTACTACTACTACCATTTTTTATTTAGAATGCAGCAGCTTTGAAAATGCTATTAAAAACACGGAATGCAGTCAATCATTTGAGATGAAGAACCTTCCTAAAAGTTCGGAACCCAATTGCAGAAATAGTGTGGTAAGTAATAAATATCATTAAAATTGAAAGTAAATATCTATAACTTCATTTAATTTATTTGTCAGATGGTACTAAGAAGAAGATCTACTATAAAACATGCACAAAAATCACTTTTCCGGTGTCCTGTACCGTTGAATCTCCCAAAAGAAGAAGAAAAGGAAGCGATGTATATGAACAACTTGTTAAGGTAACGGAATAAAAATACTTCTAAGTATCTGTTAATAATGTACCAACAATTGTTTCATCAGTAATTTTCTTGTAGAGCGTCGATTTCATCTAATAACGAGTTTTCATTGCAAAGTGAAGAAGAGAAAGACTCTCAATCGCTGATAAAATCAGAAAAAGTTAAGGGGATAAAAGTGATGGTTTGAAAAAAGTGTGTATTATTTACGTTACTACAGGAATGAAGATACAAGTTATCTTTTCATGTATGTACATACATTTTTAAAAATTGAAAGTGTCGATATTCCTGTATTCCTTTTATTGACCAAATGTATTGCGATACACGCCGCAACACATCAAATTAACAAATTGAACTTCTTATAGACCGTGATGTGCCAGCGTTTAAGTTTCAGACTCTGTTTTCTCTTTACTTTCGCTATTCTCGGACGTGTTTCTGTTCTTCTCTTCAGACTTCGACTCTTTCTCGGACTTCTTTTCTTTGCTCGATTTTTTCTCGCTCTTCTCCTTGTCAGTTTTATCTCCATCGCTCTTCTTTCCGTTATCGGATTTATCTTTACTTCTTCTTTCTTTATCTTTGTCCCTAGACTTTTCGGAGTACTTGGATTTGGAGGACCTGGACTTAGATTTTGATCTAGATCGTCTGGACTTTGATTTCGAACGTTTACTGCGAGATCGTGATCGACTCCTTCGACGCGGCGACCTCTTCTTCCTGTCCTTCGATCTTGATCGTGATCTACGAGATCGCGATCGTCGCGATCGCGAGCGGGAACGATGTCGGCCGCGGGAACTACTTCTTCTGCGCGATGGGGACTTCCGTCTGCGTTCTTTCGACCGGGATCGTTTAGATCGTGATCGTGATCTGCGTCGATGGCGTGAACGGGATCGTCTGTGACGAGACCGAGAACGTTTGCGCGATCTAGATCGTCTACTGCGACCCCTGGACCTTGATCGCGACTTTCGGCTGCGAGAACCACTACGACTACGCTTGTCTTTGGACAACATGCCAATCATAGGATCTATTGCAGCTGAAATTAAATTGTGAGCTTCCTTCACCCGCGACATTGCTTCCTCTATCTCCTTTTGCGCTGCCTCATTGCTTTTCGCCTCTGGTTTTGCTATTGCTTGCGTAGAGTGGTAAATTTTAATTGGTCTATCCAAAAGCATCTTTCCATTTAAAAGTAAAGCGGACACAACTGCTGCCTGCTCGGACAGTTCCACCAATGCGTAGTGTTCAGTGTCCGAGTCTCTAGTACATATACGTAGGTACTTCACTTCTACGCTATTGTTACTGAAAAAATCTAGCAAGTTGTCTGTCGTCACAGAAGGATCCAAATTGGCTAGGACCAACGTTCTCCTAATCTCTTCGATTCGTCTACTGTCCAAGTGACCAGGTAAATGGGGATAAGGCGGTAGACCATTTGCTTCTAGTTTTGGGTCTATGGTGGTGATCACATGATTTGGAGGAATCCCTTCTATTGCATTTACAAAATTAGGTGGTAGCTTCGGCTCAGACGGATAGAGACCTGAAAAAGTATAGTTGTAAGTACGTGCATCTGTACAAGCGTGAAATTAAACATATAACTTGTAGCCTCAAACATATCTCGATTCATTCTGTCGTTTTCGTAAAACAAAATGTTGAAGAAAAGCAGAGATTAAATATTAACACCTACCTGGGACAACGGTGCCATTATTAGTCAACTCTAAAGCTCGTTGTTCGTCTGGAATGTCTCCATTCTGATACGGAATTACAATCAACGCACGGTCAATGAAAACAGTGTTTGTCATGTGTTGGGCAACCGCAACACATCCTTGGTCGTGGAACTTTATGTAACAAATACGCGACTGAACAGGTACCGCGACGTCCCTTATAGTAGGATACAATCTGATGTCCTCTATTTTGCCGAGGTACCCGAACAGGGTTTGCATTTGATCTTTGGTCGCTTGAGGCGCGATATTCGTCACCTGCACCACTTTCGTTGAGCCCACCGCCATTCTTTCTATTGTGGCTACTGCAGCGAACACGCCGCATCATACATAGAGCGGAAAATCGACGAACGAAAATGGCGCCGCTCGCGCCAACGGAAATGCGCGATTTCTATGTAGCAATGGATCCTATTCCTGCACACCTTCAGGTCGCAGCTTGATTCGTTAGCGAGGCTTAAGGTTGCTGCTGAGATAAGATTCATTGCAGATTGAATGCGCAGAAAAATGGTAGCAATGTGTGCGCCAACTTAGGAAGTAAAGAAAGCGTGGGAGAGTAGGTCCAGTTACTGTATTCGCTGTTTGACGATCGTTTCTTGTCAATCCAAAATTTGATTAACGTCATCGGCGTGAGAAAACGATCTCTTCCGTGTACGATCTTGCAAGTAAGCAGACAAGTTACAATGAACAATTCTATACTGATGACTCCTTAAATTATGCATATAGGGTGTCCCAAAAATGTCTCGCAATCCGGAAATAGGGGGTCCCTTAGGTCATTCGAAACAATTTTTTCTTTAGCGAAAATGCAATCCGTGGCTTCATTTAGGAGTTATTAACGAAAAACAGTGACCAATGAGAGACGAGTAACTGGGCTTCGCGCACTCATTGGCTGGGTCGTAGTACAGGAAAGCCATGCAGTGATACTGTATACAGGCATACAGTGCCTCACCATAGTAAGCGCAGTTGCTTTAGAAAGAGAACAGGAGATGATCGAAAGAGACAGAATGAAACCAGCGGGCCTACGTATGCATTCACACGGACGAGAAACCTAGGCCGCTCACTTTACCGTGCTTGCGGTCTCACTCTTTTTGCGCATCCGTACGCCTGGCGCTTCATTTGAATCACGTGACGCATTATTCGTCTTGTACTTTCCGCCCGGTAGAATTCTCGACCACACAGTCCAGCGTATTTACGAATATCTTGAAATGGCGACCATTTCTACAATTATTAAATTTTTCGAAAACTCGTAAGCTACACTTTAGATAATACTTTCTAGTTTATGAATCTATAAAATTTTGTTAATTCAGCCATCCCAGCACTTGTCAACAGTAACGGGTAGCATTCGATGCTCTACTTTACGAGACGGATTTTCAAAAGCAACGGATAATTTTGCAATTTTATACGATTTTTATTTTTAAAAGTTTGAGAAACAAAGCTGAAACTTATATTCATATCTTCTTAGAAAGACATTTAATTTAGAAATTACCTACAAAAAATTCACAAACTCATAGGTTTAGGGAGTTAGATTTAAGAATTATTGAAGATTGGGAATTTACCGACAAAAAAGATTAAAGAACTATATGAAACAATTCCAAAACGTCTAGTAAAAATTTGGATCGGCAATCTACAGCGAAACTAGGAATATAAGGAAATGGCTGCGTTGTTGTGGGTCTCGGTTACGTAGAAAATTGTATTGTAATGTAATGTAATTAATTGTATTATAATTCCAATTTCCAGGGATTTATATTTTAAGGTATCGGTATCATACTAATATTAACTAAACCGTTATTAGTGTTGGAATCGGTTTTCTCTTTTTCCCGGATATTTACGGTACTATACTCCGAAACCTGGATTTCTTTTCGAAAATTTTTGTACCTTAACAAGGGCTCCTCTCTATATTATCTTTTTTATTGCAACTCGTGCCCGCTGAAAGCCTTAGCATGCGCGTCTTGGGGAATATTATACATAATTAATACATATTATGTCTATTATTTGTATACATATTGTGATTGTAATTTTGCCACCATTTCTTTATATTTGATGCCAGTTCGCTGTAGTTCGCATGTTCGCTTGCGGTCTCGTTGGCTTCGCTCAGAATGGTCTACCACAGTCCACCAAATGCGCATGCGTGTAGGCAGCCATATTGAATTTTAGTTCGTCCAAGTTGGAGTCGTCGTTCCTATAGATATATCGTACTAGCATAGCTTATTCATACATCGAGTTCACTGTGACGTCATGTAAATGATTTGTCTTTGCTTCAGGCAAACTATCCGAAGGCGCGTCTATAGTCATAATGATGTAAAGGTGATCATGATGACGAACCCAGATCATAACCAAACCTCCCAGACGACTGACCGCTTTACGCCTTTTTTTCAGGAAAGTAGGAGTGGAAGAATTACTTATCTCAAATGGGATTGGTAATCCATTGGTATCGTCCAATTCCATTTGTGAGGTCTTCTCTCCACCACTTGGAGTAGATTCCGAATAGAATTCCTGACAAAGAAAAAAAATCCTCACAAGAAGCTTTGAAAAACCTACTTTAGATGGCTCTTAAATTAAGAATACTTTTTGACGGCTCAAAAGTATGTACTACAAATTACGAGTCATCGAAAGTTCCAAAAATATGTACTTTCGAGCGCTGAAAGTCCAAATAATTCATGTGCATAAACATCTTTACTCGTATATTTATTTTATAAATTTCTCTATACATACAATTATTTACCGTGTAAATCGTTATGACACAAATTCAAAAAGGTAGTTAACATAGAAATTAAATGAAAAACCAATTATAACAATTCATTAGGGGATGCAGACTTATGAGAATCACTTTATTTGAGCATAAATAAAACATTAAACATTCGAGATAAGTGCACGCGATTTTTCTAACTGTATTTATAATAGCATCTCATAAACGAGGAACACGAATAGATTATTGTTTGAGGTAACAGCATGAGCAATTATATGACGCACCATTGCATTACTGGAAAATTCTTAATATGAGCATGAAGACTTCTTAATCGATACAATACGGATTTTCCAATGTAGAGAAACATAGCGTCGGTCAATAAAATTTGAGAGAAGAGGTACTTAGGTGCTAACCACGCAGCACACCGGCAACGTTTGAACGAGACGCGATGAAACACCTCGCTACAAATAGCAAACGATTACTCGATCGTTATAAAGTCGAGACTTGTACGATATAATTTTTACATTCACAGTAACGGTTACGAAATCACTTCACTCTCGTTTAATACTGATTCCACAGGATATTGGCACAGTACTCACAATATTTACGATATTCCTATGCCATCTCATTGTACTCTGACATTAAATTGTGTTACACGACAAAGCGTGGAATATGTTTGTGAACGAAAGAAACTAGAGTACGTGGTCAAAATACAAGAATCAAAAAGTCTTGCGAACACAGTACATAAATAAATAGAAGCAAAAATTATACAAACACATTGAGATAAGTCTTTAACCTTTCTACGACGGCATCTATTCGAAATAGAGACCTGCATTTTGCATACATTAATACGAAAATAATGTTATAATCTTAATAACATTATCATTATAACATTAAGTTTATAATATTAACATAACATTATTATCATGTAAATACATTAATAAAAAATTAAAAGTAGTTGGTGACAATCACAATGCGGATTTTATGCAATTGTATGTTTTCGCATTAGCTGATAATAAATGTACTAATTTTGATAAACATCTGGTATTACATAAAAATCCGCAGCCTAACAATATACAACATACAGACAGATCAAATCATTCCTGATTTGCCAGTTTGTTTCATAGAACAACAGTGACAAACAATAGTTATTGCACATCTAGAGCTCACGAAACAACAATTAACAAAAGAGATCGTACACGACCGTAAAACATTACGTAATACGTAATTCGTGATATTTTCGTTGCAAAGATCTGAAAGATACTTGTGTCATAGCAGGATATATTGAAATGGTACTAGTACGACTGTCAAATGTATCTGTTCAAAAAATTGTCAGTCTATCAAACATAATTGCCAACCTACATTATATCTCAAAGATATCATGTTTAATTGATGCTCAGATTGTACGATTATTCGAGTCTTGCACCTCGTTTTTATAATCGTTGACAATCGGTAACTATAAAAACGAGCCGCAAGGCTCGAATAATCGTAACTCCTCTTCCCAAATTTGTCCATTTTTCTGCGCAATCTGAGCGTCAATTAGGAAGAATTTACTGTATAGCCTTTATATTATTCATATCGAAGGTACTGTGCGTTTCTCTCCTTTTCTCAGCCCGTGATTTTACTTTGATCAACAGGTATCTGCCAACTTTGTACAACAAGAATGCAGCTTACAGTGTACATAAAATTAACTTCTTGCCTAACGATTTAATTTTTGATTAGATTTTCCACCGTTTGCAGAAGTCACCGTACGCCATCATCCCTTCCTTCACTATCACCATAAGAAAAACGCCCATTCTTTCGTATAGTACATTAAAGTACTATTTACGAATACAGTCTATGCATTAACCCCTCGCCATTCCATTTTCTCCACAATTACAATGATTACAATTTTCTCGATTGTAAGAAATTCCTTAAAAGAAAAAAAGGATTTATCTTAATTTATTTTGGAACAATAGATCATAATTATATTCCGACTTAGAGAACCGGAATAGCATTCATACTTAACAAGTACTCACGTGCTTACAATTATAAATACTTCGTCGTGAGTAAGACTCGTCAAAGTATGGCAAGGGGTTAACTTTATAGCTAGTATACTCTCCGTTCCAGCCTCACAGCCAAGAAATTTGGACTCGGTTTACGCTTATGGGTACTCGACTAGCTTTTCCTATACTTTCTTCTACAATGTCTTCGTGTTTAGTATTATTATTAGCAGCGGTGGGGTCCCTTGACCAAAAAAATCACGCCAGTATTTACATTTTTAACTATGTTATATCCTCGTTGTTAACGCTAAAACTACCACCGCTGCGGCGCGCCGATCAAACGACTGTTCCCAGATTTTATATTTTGCGATTATTGAAATTATACATAGACACACTTTCATTAGTTCTTAGTAACGTTAGTTTCCCTCAAAGCCTGGTAGCTTTCGTGTTAACGAAATTGAAATGTAAATATAGATGTACAGAATGTACTAGTTTATAAATTTATTACTTTTAGAATCGATCTTTCTGATTTTCTCCCCGTTTAGGTCCCTTAAATGATTCGCGATCGATGACTTCCACGCGATGTTATANAAGGCTCGAATAATCGTAACTCCTCTTCCCAAATTTGTCCATTTTTCTGCGCAATCTGAGCGTCAATTAGGAAGAATTTACTGTATAGCCTTTATATTATTCATATCGAAGGTACTGTGCGTTTCTCTCCTTTTCTCAGCCCGTGATTTTACTTTGATCAACAGGTATCTGCCAACTTTGTACAACAAGAATGCAGCTTACAGTGTACATAAAATTAACTTCTTGCCTAACGATTTAATTTTTGATTAGATTTTCCACCGTTTGCAGAAGTCACCGTACGCCATCATCCCTTCCTTCACTATCACCATAAGAAAAACGCCCATTCTTTCGTATAGTACATTAAAGTACTATTTACGAATACAGTCTATGCATTAACCCCTCGCCATTCCATTTTCTCCACAATTACAATGATTACAATTTTCTCGATTGTAAGAAATTCCTTAAAAGAAAAAAAGGATTTATCTTAATTTATTTTGGAACAATAGATCATAATTATATTCCGACTTAGAGAACCGGAATAGCATTCATACTTAACAAGTACTCACGTGCTTACAATTATAAATACTTCGTCGTGAGTAAGACTCGTCAAAGTATGGCAAGGGGTTAACTTTATAGCTAGTATACTCTCCGTTCCAGCCTCACAGCCAAGAAATTTGGACTCGGTTTACGCTTATGGGTACTCGACTAGCTTTTCCTATACTTTCTTCTACAATGTCTTCGTGTTTAGTATTATTATTAGCAGCGGTGGGGTCCCTTGACCAAAAAAATCACGCCAGTATTTACATTTTTAACTATGTTATATCCTCGTTGTTAACGCTAAAACTACCACCGCTGCGGCGCGCCGATCAAACGACTGTTCCCAGATTTTATATTTTGCGATTATTGAAATTATACATAGACACACTTTCATTAGTTCTTAGTAACGTTAGTTTCCCTCAAAGCCTGGTAGCTTTCGTGTTAACGAAATTGAAATGTAAATATAGATGTACAGAATGTACTAGTTTATAAATTTATTACTTTTAGAATCGATCTTTCTGATTTTCTCCCCGTTTAGGTCCCTTAAATGATTCGCGATCGATGACTTCCACGCGATGTTATAATTTACGGCAGTAGGTTAATTCGTAGCGCTGGCCACAGCCACACATACTCCATCAGAATGTGTCTCCACAATTCTTGAAGACCCGCGGACAATGTTTCCTCGCGATAATAGCGTACGGGACGTCACTGTTCACACGAACCTGCTGCGATTGACTCAGTTTATTCCACACGTGAATAGTCATCGCTTTTTTCAACATCTTCATCGTCGCGTTCTTATCTTTCGCCTCGAAGTACTGTCTCCATCTCTTGTAGTGCACCGGGTAGAACGTTGACGGCGGGAACACCTTGAAACCTTTACAGCGAATGGTGCTCATGTCCCTGATCTGGAAACACCATGAAAGCATTCAGGTTTTAATAATTAACGTTGTAAATTCATTCTTAACAACCTAGCGTAGTCACTAAACAGGAGTCGAATGAAAATGTAATTCATTGTTTCAAACTGTCTTGTCTACGTTCTTATATTTTTTGACGTTTTCTCTGGAATTAAAGAATCAATGTAATAAGCCTTGTAATTTATTAAATGATTTGATGTTCTTCGAGCGACAATAACGGGTTTTACTAACTACTGGGCACTCGAAGGAATGTGAATTAATAAGTGTTATTTTACCATATTTATTTCGCATGAATCACGTGAATCGATTTCGATGAAATTTTCAACATGCATATAAGTTACCGAGATCTGCGAAAGGCATTTTTTAAATTTTCATTATAGGCTCAGATAAAGAAGTTAAAAACGAGAGATTCTTATTTTTTTGTCATTCCAAGTAATACGAAAATTTAAAAAACAGCATTTCAGTCATCGTCTAGTAGACACTCTATTATCTAAAAAAAAAGAATTCAAATCATTTAATTCAGTTCTAAAAGGTGTACGAACACTTTGTAGGCCACTGTATATTGCATCGACAGTTCCCCTTCCTCTACGAAATCCGAATTATGCCTCTTCCAGCTTATCTTTTATCTGCACCCTTAACCTTTCGTTGAGAATGTTCGCATATATATATTTGGTACGCCGTGCACATAAGAGTAATCTCTTTGCAGTTTTCTTGCCTCTTTTGCATCCCGAAAGGAGAGACCAGGAAAAATTAGAAATGTCTCCGCGCGTAACAATATGAGCCGTTTATTTTGAAAGTGGCATATATATATATATATAAGTCACTTTTTCAAAACAATCGAGTTAATGGTAACACTAATTACAATTGAACGGTATCTTTTCATTTAAAAAAAAAAAAAAGTGACTTATGCCACTTTCAAAATAAACGGCTTATACACAGGGCGAGGCACCCAAAACAGGCCACCCGAATGCCGGCTTGTAATAGTAGAAAAGATGGTACCAAACAAAAGTTATTTGTTTTCGAGCCGACATTTTATTTGCCGACTATCCCAGACAGATATCGCGAATCCTCAAGGGATTAACCAGAAGCCGAGTTAAAACAGACATTGAAAACAGGCACGATCACTCACGTGTTTCGTGGAGCAGATCTTTTGCAAGGTTCTGGTGACTACACCGGGGCCGTTGTTGCCCCAAAGATCGCCACGGAAGTTGCTCTTCAAGTCGTTGATGCAGGCGTTAGCGACTTGTCGACCTAACGGGCTAAGGTCAAATCCCATGACTCCGGCAGCGATGTCGTTCCAGTCTTCTGCTCCGGCGAAGTTGCTCAAACGCTCCAGGGACCTGCACAAATTAGACTTTATCGAATAACGGGCGAAAGCAATTATATTTCCGAGATCAAGGGTCAGTTTATATTGCTTACGTTTCTCCGAGAATTCCCATCGCGCTTTTCAATTTGTATTTACTCACGATCTAACATTTTCAGCAAATTAAAAATACGCATAGACTGTGTCCGGGAGGTAATCGAGTATACTGTGTCGCGATATCTTATAGCGTGCATTTTATCTCTTCAACATTCGTCCAAGCGATCAGCATCCGATCCGAAGCTTTAAATATCAAACTATTTTAAGTTTTCAGTTAGGGAGAACCAGCTAGCCTAGATTTTTCTGAGACACGGTTACGCTTAGAAAACGTAGGTGGAAACGGTAACATGATTTTACGTTTTCAGAAGAAGACATAATAATTGAAATGGATACTCAGAAGTAAGATTGCCAACACAGGCGTTAACTGGATGAAACAAAGGATAATTGGACAGTTAGCTCACGTAGTTACAACGACGTCCAAGTCCAAATAAATGCCCCCGAACTTCCATAACGTCAGGTATCTCAGTATGTCCGACGTGTGGCTCCTCGGCCAGAGGCTCTTTTTAAGCACGTCGATCTTGTACCACGGGTCCAACGCCGTTTTCTTCACGTACTCCTCCAGGTAGAGGCGCCTGATTTTGATATTTGGGTAAGACTGCAGCTGGCTGAACATCTCCACCGATTGGTTCGAGATCACCGATTGCGAGAGGAAGAAAAGGTAGACGCTCATGTTCGGGTTCATTTTCGCTGCTGATTCCACGGCGCACGCCTGTCGAGGGTTCAGCGTCAGGCCGTCCTCTTCGAAACAGGATGTTTCGTGAAAGAAGATGTTCTTGTCGTTTATCGGCTTGTCCGATACTGAAACAAAACGATGCTTTTTGTGAACAATTCACGAAAACAGATTACTTCCTGTGACCCATCGAGCTCCGTAATAAAGCTTGTATGCGCATAATTGAGCTGCCTCGTAAAGTATTAGGTTGAGGAATAAGTTCGTAACGTTTTTCATATTTTCTCTTATTTCACAACGATTTCTTGCTGTTTGACAAAGTGTATAATATTTATTCGATAGAGCTCTTTCTGCTCTACAAAACTGTGCTAATCGTCTTTTTAAGTAATTTAATTTTCGTTAAAGTTCGTAGCATTTTTATATTTTCTTTTATTTCACAACGATTTCTTGCTGTTTGACAAAGTGTATAATATTTATTCGATAGAGCTCTTTCTGCTCTACAAAACTGTGCTAATCGTCTTTTTGAGTAATTTAATTCTTTATTACTTTTGAGGCTTAGGAATGGAATATCCAGGAGGTAAAAAGCAACGTTTTCGACACCTTCTCTTCTTTGCTTTTCATCGAGGCCAAAAAGCTGCCGAAGCAACCCGGGACATTTGCAACGTATACGGAGAAGGTGTCATAGGCGAGTCTACAGCACGGAAATGGTTTGCGAAGTTCAAAAATGGCGATTTTGACGTCGACGACACGCCCCGCAGCGGAAGACCTTCTGAATTCGACGAAGAGCGTCTCGAAGCACTTTTGAAGGAGAACGGTCACCAAACAAGTCGTGAATTGGCCGAAAAAATGAACTGCGATCATAAAACGATTCTCAATCATCTTCGTTCAATGGGATTTGCCGAAAAATTGGGAGCCTGGGCGCCTCACGAGCTTAACGAAAACAACAAAGAAAATCGCCTTCAAATTGTTTGATAAAAAACGCTACGAACTCAACTGGAAAATTTGGCGATCAGTCCCAACTATTTTGAAGTTTGTCGAGTTCGACCTGAATGGCGTTCTTAGACTTATCGGTTGCAGATCTTCGGTAACATTCCTCGGTAACAGCAGAAATTTGTTGTTAATTCGTTTAGTAGAAAATCAAGGAACGAAGCGTTATTTGATTTGAATAACGATGCGTCATTATCGCACAAGTTTCTCGAAACCTTGTTACAACGTTGAAGGAAAATTTTAGTCGTCGCAAATTCTTATCTAAAGATTATAGAAATGCAAAATGCAAAATTACGAAAATACATTGACATGGATCAGCTTAAATAACGGGCTAATTATAATTTCGTACTAGAATAAACATGAGATATAGATTTGCTGTCCTCGAGCCCCAAGTTCGGAAGTCAAGGAATTTTGTTCGATTTCTAGAACAAGCGGATGGATTTATTCTCTTCGTTAGCTACGAAGAGCAAACAATGAGATCGAAAGCGGACCGTGTGTTCGTTAAAATTTTACCGACTGGAATTTGCTTCGAGCGAAGCTACAGGCGGCCGTGCGATTAAAGATTGACATGCACGGCATCGTGGTAGACGTAACATGAATTATTCTGTCGTGCAACTATCATTCGTATCGATTACATATTAAATTGTCACAATCGTGAATCTCGCTGCGTGCAATCGTTCGTCAATGGAAGACGACACATGCACCGGGAATATAAAACATAGGTTTCTACGCGTTATGTCGCAACGCCTACGAATTAGAGACGCACATGTGACACGCGTTTGCCGAGGAAAAGTAACTCGGTTTTTAGGGACACCTTGTATTGCATTCCTGTCGTGCTAAAATCCTAGTCAGCGTTTGTTCTAGACACAGATCTGTGTTATCGGATGTTCGTTATATTTTCCTCTTGGCTATTGTATTTCAGAGAGGATCTTATCAGGCAGAAAATCTTGTCGTCGAATTTACTTAATTAGGATCCCACTTTTAATCTATTGTAATGTTGTGCAACGCTCGTGCACTTATTCCTCGAATTTTCTGCTTTCAATAGACTTGAATAATACAGTAAATTCTATCCAATTGTCGCTCAAAACAAAAATGGACAATTTGGGACGAGATGATACGACTATTCGAGCCTCGCGGTTCGTTTTTGTAGCCGTTGATACTGTCAACAACAAGAAAAACGAGCCCGGAGGCTCGAATAATGGCATTTCCTCTTTCTAAATTGTCTATTTTCGTTTACAAGCTGAGCGACAATTGGAGAGAATTTACTGTACTTTGCATATTCCTCGGTTATGAATATTTTGCTGGAAATTCATTAACACTCGACGAAGCTTGGGTTTATCTGGACCCAGGGTATAAATATTATTATTTGACTATCTAGTTTCTGACAATTAATCGAAATTTATGCATGTTTCAGTAAGATTGATAGACAAACTAACGTGTCTGAAAGGAGTAGCTTAAAAGAAAGATTGAAAAAATTGATAACTAAAATTATAAATAATTCTACGTACACTCAGTTATATCTTTGTCGAAAAAGGTGAATGTTAAAAAAGTCTGCCCTTGAACTTGAAATTCAAGGTCATTTTTAAAATTTTATATTCTATTCTACTCATCGCGGGGATAAAAAGATTCGAAGGAACTCAACCGTACTCTTTTATGACTCACAATAAGAAATTTTAGTGAATAGAAATGTAACTTTCTCAATGTCGATTCTGGGGTAAGTTCTGGCAGTCTAGCACAGTTCTCTAAAACGAGCCGGGTGGCAACCAAAGAACACCCCAGACCTCCCCACTCCATAGCCAGATCCTTTTAGATGATTATCATTGTTCTTTAAAAATGCGGCACGACTTCGAGTCGCTTGCCATACTTGAAAATTTCTATCTTTCTAAACATGTATCAACGAATGCGTCCCATCAAATATTCGCACAACTTTGCCAACAATCATCCGGGGTTCGTTCACCGTCAAACCTATACGGTAAATTCTCCCTAATTGACACTCGGCTTGTAAACGAAAGTGGACAACTTAGCAAGAGGAGATACGATTATTCGAGTTTTGCGGCTCGTTTTTATAGTTGCCGATTGTCAACAATTATAAAAACGTGGTTACGTCAAGCTCATCCGAAATTGTCGACTTTTGCCTCCAAGCTGAGGGTGAGTTAGGGAGAATTCACTGTAAATACTTTTCTTCTTGTAAGAAATGTTTTTATGAGAAATTGTTTGATTTCCATTATAATACAAATAATAAGAAGTGACTCCAATTCTGTCATTGTTATGAAATAATATAAAGTAGAGACTCCCTTATCCGAACATTTATTTTCACAATATTCTGTTGTCCAAACGTTCCATATTATCTAATTACTGTATTATTTAGATACATTATCACTTAGTGGAGAATTTCAATGAAATTTTTATAGATAATCGAATGTTTCGGCATCAGGGTATTACGAAAACAATCTTTCGGATAACGTAATCTCTACTGTATTGTAGAGTTCGACGGTACAGTAAATTCTCCCTAATTTTCCTTCAGCTTGTAAACGAAAAATGGAGAATTTGGGAGGAGAGGATACGGTTATTCGAGCCTCGCGGCTCATTTTTATAGTTGCCGATTGTCAACAATTATTATATCAACAATTATTATATTATAAAAACGAGGCGAGGTACTCGAAGGTACTCGAATAACCGTAATCTCCTCTTCTCAAATTGTCCATTTTTGTGTAGAAGCTGAACGTCAATTAGGAAGAATTTACTGCACTTCGAAAGGATATATACTCAACTCTTGATCTTATCATAATTTGTCACAAACGGAGCAGCGTACGCTAACTGCCTTCGATTTCCCTTGCAAGAGCATGCTGCCGTTAACATAAATTAACACTAAACCTACCAAGCAGTAATACTAACTGGCGTGTACTGCTTCGCAAAAGTGAGAAGACCGAATTTATTTAGATTCTTGTAAAGTTTTTATTATAAAACTTGCTCCAATAATATAACTTATTCAAGCGTTTTCCACGAAAGAGTCTCGGAACTTTGCAGAATTAAAAAATAAGTAAGCGGCCACTTTGACCGCGGTAGATTTAATGTTAAATAGAAAAACAAGGATCGTTTGTATTCGCTTTGCGGATACATCGAAGAATTGTTCGGCCGATTTCGTAGAAGTTTCACGAGCTATAAACAAGAGTATGGACTATCGAGGAGACGTACTTGATTCTGGATCGAACTGCGGCAGACTGTTCGACGTGGTCGGAAATTCGTAACAATTTATGAGGCCAGGATCGCGGAAGCTGACGAACGGCACGTGTTGAATGAAATCGTTGTCCGTCGAAATCATGATCAGGAATAACATGACGGCGCACAAGAAGCAGAGCACCAGCCTCTTCTTCATCCTTCTCGCCTGGATTAGGTTCGGTTGAACCATAGATGATTACAATGGTTCAACAAGTGCGATCGCGACTGTTCCGGTCATCTCCTTCCCGGCGCTCCCGAATGATCTATAAACGTTAAATGTTCGTTGATTTAAATGTTCGTTGACAATTTCATAATATAGAGAAAAATTAACTAAGAGAGAAATATAGTAAAATGAAAAGAAATGCCGGCGTTCCCGAACGATCTATAAACGTTTTAAACGATTTAAAAGAGAAAATTTGCTAATAGATAAAAATTAACTAAGAAAAATTGTAGTATCACAATTGATTTTGCTATAGGTACTACCCGTTTGTTGGAACAGGTTATGGAAGCATATATCATCCGGATGAATCATCATGCTAGTGCTATGTGTGTAATAGCAATAATTGTTTCCTTTATTGGTTCTATCGAAACGGTCATTGTTTATGACTCTTGTAAATGCAAATTCACGGCGACGGAATACGTAATGTTATCTAAGCACAGAACAGTGTGTCCGTCGTTTCCGTATATTTCGCGATAAAATTTTAATATATGGTAAAACGAAACAGTGGACTTAGAACGTGGCTCACTAAATAGGCGTATTTTAAACAGCTTACAAAACGACGTACAAACCGCCCATCCAGCCATGCCTTAAACCGCAGCGATAATGATAAAATTACAACTAATGTTATCATTCTATTTTTATCTTCACCAAGCACAATTCGATAAACGAAACGAGCACTGAAAACGTCTGGAAGTACTGTAATTTACCGTTTTGGTGGGAAATATGGGTCTCGAACGCGTTGCTATGACAACAATTGTTGTCTGTAATCACTTCGATGCAGCAGCAGATAGTATAGGCTATCTGCGGTATTTTATTATTCTATTCAGAAACACTTTGAACATAATCTTGTTCTTTTCGAAACATTCATATCGCGATCTTCAATAAAAAATATTCGAAACGAAAGTTCCGAAGAATTTGATAAAAATGTATACGGTGTGTTCCACGAAATTTGCCCACTTAAATATCTCGGTTGTTTCGAAGAATCCGAGAAAATGTTACTTACAAAAGTTACAGGGTTCAAGAAAGCTCATAATATAATATAAATGGTATTCCTGCAAGTGAAGGCATAGAGCAGATACAGAGGTCAACTTTGTTACCTTAAGTGGCATATCTTATTTTTTGCGCTCGTATTACCAAAGTATGTTTGTTCGAAAACTGATCGTTTTCGAGATGTTCCAACAATAATATGCGCAAGGGACACAACGGTTCAAAAACTAGAACGTTGCGTCTCAGCAGATGGCCGACATTTCGAACACGAACAGCTTCGTGAAAAAGGTGAAATATCTCGGAAACGGTAAATTTTACGACGATCACGATTTAATCCGTTTGTACTCGGAATACGCCGATCTATCGTAAACGAGCATAAAAAGTAGGACATATGTTCTGTGTAAGTAACGTTTCTTTGCATTTATCTCGAAATAACCAAAGACATTTATGCGGACATATTGTTCGTACATATTTCACTTACGGAAAAGACACATACATGGACTGCTTCGAATGCGATTTCGACTAACACGCATCGATTTTATGGGAAACGTAACGCGCCAAATACGAAAACGTTCATCGTCCACTTACTCTCTATCAAGCCCAATTCAATCTCTCCGAGCAAACCCGATACCTCGCGTACCGGAAATTATTCTACGATTAGCGGGGAAAAAGAATGAATTATCGGAGCAATTATCGAGCAATTCGGAAACGAAAAATTAGACCTACTCTCGAAAACTAATTGAATTTATTCTAGGCAAAACAGCAGCCACAACTCGTTTGATCAGCAAAACACTCGAGACAGTTCTCTGACAATGTCACTACATCCTATTGATAACAACGTACATCCCATTAACTCGTGTAATCTGGGTAGGGTGGCTGAACGCAGGATGCGGCACAGGGTTACACATCTCCGATGATCATCTCTACAGGGTTCCCGACTGTTTTCCGCAGCTCGATGGCGCATTTATCTATCGATTGGCCGTGCGATACATTTTCCGGTTCGTCCCTCAGGATTTTAGCAGTGTAACAGCACAGCACGTATTATCCACGTGCTCGGGAAAATATCGTCGAATCTCGTGCAACATCGCGGCAGACACCGCGATGATGATGCATGTGTCGGGAGAGGCTCAGCTGTGCTACCCTGTTTTCACGCGTTCGTATTAGCGATACTCGATCACACAATATTGCCGGGAAGTGTTCGGTGTGGCGTGCGCGTAAACAGGGAACGCGAGAGTACTTATTGCGGGCGCGACCCTAATCGCGCGGCGAGCAGTAGGCCCGATGACGGTAAAACTGACGTCTCGCGTTTATGTCAGCCGAACCGTTTTACCGGCAAACGGAGTGCACACTGTGCTTCTTCCCCTGTTGGGTCATGCGTGCGACACGTCCCTGCTGCGCGGTCGAACAGCCAAGAAACGCATGCGTCGTTCGGACCAAGAATATCGGGCAATTATTATCTGACCGATACACGAATAAATGTTTTTTTCTTTTTCGTTTCGTAAACTCTTTTCAAGTTTTTTTCTTTCCCCGGTGCTGTCCCAATACTTGATCGCGCGAACGTTTGCTCGACGTCGGATAATTTTCTTGTGAGAAACAGAAACAGCATCCGGGTATTTCGCTATTCGATCACGAACGACGATAACGGAACGGCAGATGTTGCGGGGAATCTCTGTAAATGATTGGGAATTTGCCGCGAAACGCCGTTTTGTAATAGCAATTAGGAGAGACGACGATCCGTCGCATGCGTTCGTGTAACTGTTCCTTTCCAGAGACCGTACAATTTTCATTCATTTCGATTTCTTTATCAACGTACCAAGGCGTAGGTGAATAATTACCGGTTGCAACCTCGAGGAACGTAGGATTGCAGGTGTGCAATAATAAAGCATGCCGAGAGGATGACGCAACGTTGCAGTGTATGTTTTATGAGAATATTGAAACTCATGAGCAATTACGTGCATGTGATCGTTCGTTTGCGTTGATAATAGCTGAATTTTAGCGAAGGAGATGCATTGTGTACTAACGTTCCTACAAATTGTTCCACCTTTTTTGAGGATAGCAGAAACAGTTTCTGCAACATCGTTTCTATATTTTTCTTGCCAAATATATTACATCCGTTTCTACAGCTGTGTAAACGAGGTTGCAGCTACGGTGCGACAACATAGACACCGTACTTAACTTTGGATTATTGATCGTCGATAAGGTGTTGGAATAATTTGTTTATAAGGTTTACATTTAATATTCGATGGATTTTCTGTTATCATTTTCTTGTCACGTGCAACGGAATGTTGAAGAAAACTGCAACATATGAAATAAATCTTTAGAAATTTGATAGAATCGTTTTGCTTTTGCTTTAAAATTCTTCTTCTTTTTTCTTCTTTTCTTCCATGTTCGAGTTGAGCTCGGAAAGATGGTAAAATTACAATGGGAGAGCATCGAAACATTATTTTTTATTTAAGTGTATAGATGAAGAGCGAGGGCGAGCGATAGTTGCGCTGATTACGGCGTAATTTGGAAGCTGACTGCAGTTGTGCGAACGGACATTAGACAAAGCAAATTAGAAATATTTTCGACCGCCAGGTGGCACACGTATATGTTTCTGTGACGACAGGTAACGAACACGATGTATCGGTAAAAAAGAATGTATGCCCAGCATGCCACCTTCCCTTGGTCGGTAATATTTTGAATGGAAGTATAAAACTATGTAACTTGTCGATCTGTATTATCGACTGTAACTAACTATAGTCACCGACAAGCTTGTCTGTGGTGCATCTTCTTGGTTGGAAGAGAACTGTGGCGCTAATAGTGAAAAATGTCGGAACCTCGAGGTGGTGTTTTAGATACACTAGCCGTATGTGTTTTAATTAAGTAAGTAATCAACTGAAAATACACTCCACTGCCTTTGTACATGCCTTATCTCGGTTGCTTCGGTTGTGAATTTTCGATTCGAGCTCTAAATCTCTCGATATTTACGAAAACCTGCTAGCGGCGGCCATCTTGTGACGTCATGCTCGTGAGATTGACACCACTCTGGCCGAATATTGCAAATATCTCCGCAATAACTGCAAAACGGATATTTCTACAACCGAAGCCCCCGAGTTTAGTCTTTTGGGAATCTAAATTTTCCACTTGCGAACTGCACACTTCGATATTAAAGCGTCAGTTTTAGTGGATGTAAACCTCTGCAAACTAATATACGTATATGGTTTTTCTTCTATGTGTGGGTCTATCTATATAGTGTGCGGCTATCCGCCGCCCCTTAGTATCTTTTTTAGAACTTGGACTAAACGATTAGAATTCTTTTTAATGATAGTGAAATTAGTGTACTAAACAATGACTATAATGCTTTTTATTTAAATTAATTTATTTTTTAATACAAATTTCTCCTAGGATGATGTTTCACTAGTTTCCTAAAATATTTAAGTTAATATTAATATAAAATGACATTTCAACATGTCATTGGCTTTGGAATTGTGAATAGGATGAAAATGAACGAAAATAGGAGAGAGAAAACAGCAGTAGACAATAGAGAAGTTACCATAACACATAATAACAATAATTTGTAACGTTTCAAAAACAAAGATATTAATTTCTATTTTGAGAACGTAAATTCGTGTTGAAACTGAAGAAGATAGAACGTTGTTAAATAAAATGAAGAGAGAGTAGAATTTTAAGTTAAAATTGAAAAGAAATCAAAATTTGATTCAAATAGGAAGAGTATATATCCAAGTGAAATTGGGAAGCAAAAATAAAATTTAGTTTTAGGCGAAACTTTATTAAGTTTCGGTTAAAATTGAGAAGAAAACTAAAATTTTATTTTAGGAGAAAGTTGAGTTTTAGATTAAAATTGAAAAAAAATCAAATTCATTTAAATTAGTAGAAGACAAATCGCGACTGTAAATAATTAAAATATAACAAAGGATTTCAAATAAAAGAGAAACATATATTTCGAAAGACCTCCAGAAGTGACAACTAGGATGATGACCACAACTGATCAGAGAACTGTATCAAAGGTTAGTAGTGGCCATCCTGAAGGTGCATCCTTGGTCTGACCAGTTCTGAAAGAGGAACTTGACTGCTCTCTCCGGAGATCGCGCTGCAACTGACTGAAGAACAGCGCTGCGCCGAACGGGTAAAAATTACCCCACCACTGACTTCGATGAACATTCGCCGTGATGAATGACGATCGATAATTTCGATTTATGCAAAATACCATTTTTATATTTTCTTTTATTTCACAACGATTTTTTGCTGTTTGACAAAGTGTATAATATTCATTCGATAGAGCTCTTTCTGTTCTACAAAACTGTGCTAATTGTCTTTTTGAGTAATTTAATTCTTTATTACTTTTGAGGCTTAGGAATGGAATATCCAGGAGGTAAAAAGCAACGTTTTCGACACTTTCTCTTCTTCGCTTTTCATCGAGGCCAAAAAGCAGCCGAAGCAGCCTGGGTCATTTGCAACGTATTTGGAGAAGGTGTCATAGGCGAGTCTACAGCACGGAAATGGTTTGCGAAGTTAAAAAATGGCGACTTTGACGTCGACGACACGCCCCGCAGCGGAAGACCTTCTGAATTCGACGAAGAGCGTCTCAAAGCACTTTTGAAGGAGAACGGTCACCAAACAAGCCGTGGATTGGCCGAAAAAATGAACTGCGATCATAAAACGATTCTCAATCACCTTCGTTCAATGGGATTTGCCGAAAAATTGGGAGCCTGGATGCCTCACGAGCTTAACGAAAACAACAAAGAAAATCGTCTTCAAATAAGAACGCTACGAACTTATTTCCCAACCCAATACATCCTAAAATTTCTGCGACTTTTCTTTGACTATTATCTTGCTTCAGAAGTTCGATTACTCTTAATTTGAAGCCGTTTCAATACAACTTATACGATGGCATATTGTACACATCCATCTAACTTATCCACTGACTGAAATATTTTGTATTTCAGGTGCCTCAGCGGTAAAAGCGTTTGTTTACATTCTCGCGGGCACGAGTTGTGTTTACGCTTGCTTCTTCCACTTGAGACATTCATAGAGCTAGTTATTTGACTATGATCCGAAATTTTTTTTTTTACATTTGTACTGATCAGAAACTTTTTTCCACATAACATTTTACATTCTTTGTGGTTTCTTTCCGATAATAAATGAAAAATTGCGTTACTTTGTATCGATTTACTTTATTTAGATCCAGCGTACGTTCTCCCCATTCGTCTTACCTGCATAAAAAACATTTTATAACTCTAAAACGAGAATATTCTTTGTAAATTTTGTATGAGCGTTTATATGATCGGAAACTTTTTGCCAGAGGTTGTACCTGATTTTCATAAAGAAACAGAAGTCGCTGTCATTGAGTCGTCAACACTGATAAAACATTTTCTGACGAATTTGAAGCAAAAATAAGCCGACTTATATTTAGCCATTCTCGTCAATACTCATTATTTATAAAGATACTGCACATTAAATCTTTGCGATTACCACAAGTACTGGTTTAATAGAAATGTGTATAGTTATGGTAGCGAAAGTGGCAAAGTGATAGATTCTTAAATCTCTGTATTAAATCTCGGAAGGTTAATATTTTTTTTTTCTTAAGATGAAATTTTCTAGGTTCTTAAAAATTGATCTTTTCTAGATTTTTAAGTCGAATTCCTTGCCTATAAATTACATTAACATTGAACCTACCGAGTGCCAAAAACATCGTACAGTTTCTCGATGGATTTTGTGCCTTACCAAATAGTTAGTAACAATTATTCAGATCCATATCCTAAAATAACCGTGAACAATTTGACAAGTTCATGCTGAATAATAATTTTCTCACTTCGAGAAAAGTGAGAAACTTTTATGTTTAAAGAATCTAGAATGAGGACTTGGTTACATTTTTATTATGTATTATTTTCTGCATTTAATTCTGATTTAAATAGTTACTAACACTTTTTGGAGAGCTGTCCTTCTTTCGCACATTTTTCATTTTTATTTTGTCAATAACTAATTGATCATAAGCCAATTGTAGTAAAAATTGTCGTAGAAATATTACCGGAGGTCCATTTTGGTTTCTTAATCATTAACGCAGTTTGCAATGCCAATAAATGGAACATTCTGTATGACAACACCCAATATCTGAAATCGAATAAACTTGATGTTGTTACTCTCTGTTAAACATAGGATAAAAGTATCCTACTTGTATGAAATATAAAACATGGGATTATTGTCTCTAAACGTATGACAATCGATTCTTATACAAGAAAATGACAGGATAGGGCAGACCGAAAATCCCACGAATTATGCCGACATTCCACAATCTTTTTTGACTGGGTATTCTCGATAATATTTATTATATTCATGATAAATTGGAAGAATGTGCGTTCTGTCTCGTGATAAGCTTCGAAATATCTGACGATACATTTCATCTGCAGATGAAATTACATTGTTGTACCTTGTACTATTTCCTCTTCTTTTTTTTTCATTTTCGTGTTCTATTATTATGCCAGATTACCAGATTATTTTTTAACCAATGAGACTGCCGCTCGATCAGATTATCAATCACACGAGAACGAAGATCTTCGATGTTGGTATTTCTTTTGTGTTGGACCCAGGTGGACCCGATTGTACTATACACACCCGTAATCGATAATACTTCTTTATCACGATAATTAAAGCATTCGCTATTGTCTCGGCTATTAATTGCTCACTGATTACGATATCAAAAAATTAACGAGAGAGCGACAAGTGGCCGATAAATCGATAACAGTGCATCGTACATAAGGACATCCCGGAAAATCGACACACTTCACCGGCGAAGTGAACAGGCGACATAACTCCGGCATACATAGACTTTGCTGGCAGATCGTCTTGGAGGAATAGCAGCTGAATCATGCGTGGATTTTTAAGCTCCTTGGGAGTTTTATTAGCTCTCGCGCACTTCTCGCAACAGGTACTGCAACGTCGTCGTGATGATTTCATGCGAAGTTAAGAAAAAGTAAACGGTAACATAACATTCGACGTTCTCAGGTGCCGGAGGAAGATACAAGGGACTACTATATCGGGGCTGTGGTAGAATTCACGCCTAAGTTCTACTTTTCCGAAAAAACTGTGCTGGAGAATACGAAATTGTATATCGAACACATTCAAAATGCGAGAAAACAGGTGAGACTTCGTCGCTATCTATATTTATTCTCAGACGTTTCTCACGTTTTTTTTTCACATTTCAAAGAACGTGGACATCATCGTGTTCCCGGAGGACGGTATAACGTCTCTGGACATACCGGGTCTACCGGAAATGGATGCTTGGACGACCGCCGTACCGTCTGCCGAAGATAATTTCAACCCGTGCCTACAGGATCGCGCGAATGTCACACAAGTAAATGTCCCTTTTATTTCAGCTCGAGATTTGTATAATACAATTCGAAACGTTTTCGACTTTTCGTTTCTTTTCTTCCAGGTGATGAAGATGCTGTCGTGCGCGGCGCGAGACAACAAGATGTACGTCGTGGTGAACGTTGCTGAAAAATTTGTGGACCTCAACGGCACTCATTATTACAATACCAATGCGGTGTTCGATCGGAATGGAAAAATAATCGCCAGGTAATTCAGAGAACTCGAAGTCCTTGTCGAAGTCACGTTGCGACTGTTTAAAAGGAATACAGTCAAATCGCAACTGGGAGTTTGGGCCTAGTCACCTGGCTGTCGATACGATGGCTAATAAATTAGAACGGTTTTCTGTTAAATTTGATAGTAGTTCATGACGAATTGAATAAGAGGATCAGCATTGATCTTACAGAGGCATGCTCCAAAAATCCGTGAAAGATGATTGACGCGCGGTTACCAAGGATTAACCAAGGAGAATGTGCTAAATGATGACTAGGTTTAAAATGGCGGTGATAACCAGGTCCCCCAATTTGTAGATACCGCAAGGTGAACCTCTACATTGAGCCCGACTTTGAACCAAGTCCGCAACCACCAAATATCGTCACCTTCGACACCGATTTCGGCGTCCGATTTGGCACGTTCATCTGCTTCGACATCTTCTACCCTGTTCCTGGATTGATCCTGACAAGAGATCTAGGGATCACGGACATCGTGTACACCACAGCTTGGTTCTCCGAATCACCGTTCACCACCGGTAACTCGTCACGTTCACTTCTGAATTAATTTGGGAAACATAATCGCAGCTCGAGCTTCCTTTCAGCCGTTCAAATGCATTTCGGATGGGCTTACTCCGAGGACGTGAACTTCCTGTCCGCTGGACACAATAGACCATTGATTGGATGCACCGGAAGCGGTATTTATTTAGGTATGTACAGATCTTCGGTAAATCCTTTACGCTTATACGCGTGGATTTAGCGAGCAACTCGCGGTTATATGACACTTGGAGGATATTAAATCAAAAAACAAATCTGATAACTAAGTGTACCGATCGATCAAATGTATCAGTTTCGATCCCCGTAACGTAAGAGGATGGAAGTAATTTCCCCGATTTTGTTTTATCAGATTAGATATTCTAATTTCATCGAATTTTTCAGAATGCTAAATCGAAGATACACGCGTTCGAATATTCTTTGTTCAAGCATTTAATTAAATTTTGTTTGCCCAGGACGCGGTGGACTGGCAAACGCAACGATGTCCGATTCCAATGGCAGTAAATTGCTGGTCTCTCGGGTGCCGAAAAAGAAGGGTCCAAGGCTGGCACGCCCGCTAACGATGCAGGAAAGATTCGTGGAGACCAAGGAAAAAACGAAACAAGATTGTTACAAGGAAAACATGAAGAGGAGAGGGGTGGTTCGTGGGGTTTTACTTAAGCGCGACGATTTCATACCGTACGAAACCGTTCCTCTGACCGGGCCACTGTTCGAAAAGACCCTTTGTCATCGAGATTTCTGCTGCGAGTTCAAAGTAAACAGCACCGTCGACCAATCGAGTAACTATCGTGCAGTGGTTTACAGCGGATGTCGCTATATCGGTGGCACATCGACCGAAAACGGAATTCGAGTATGCGGATTAACGCAATGCTCCGACAAGGACCCTGAATCCTGCGGCGTGGTTCAATCGTCCAATGTTCAATTCAACAATGTGTCGATCACCGCGACCTTCGACGATTTGACGTGGTCTTCGTCGATACCGAGCACATTAAACCCGGAGTTGCTACCGTTCGATGATTTCGTATACGATGAATACATTCTCCCTAACAAAACGGTTGCGACTCTTGTTCTGACCAAGCCTCAAACTGACATTTCAAGTTTCTCAATTTACGCTCGCGATTATTTTAACGACTCTCCTCATTAAGACTGTTGTGTAAAGAGGAGTAAAATTTATTTTTGTAAATAAAAAGAGAGCTAAAACTGAAATTTCTCGAGTATAATTAAAGATCTAAACCTTGTCGAAAAGCAAAAGAACTTCCAGTCTTTTTATAAGGATGATGTGTTAACCCTGGTATTACTATGGCAATTATATATATTCTAGCGATTTCATAGTTACTATAAATCGTATAAGATCAGGTTATTACAATTTAGCTGCCTTCTTTATCCATATAAATATTATAAGCGATCCTAAATGCAAATGTTCTTACTATGAATAATGATGTTCTCTTACTGAGAACATTAATAACATGTTTGAACTTTACAACACACAAAGGGCGAATTTAATTAAAAAGCTACTAAGAAATTCTCGAAAACTGTAACTTGCGAATTTCGATATAGTAAATCAAATCATTATTTTCAAATAATTTCTCCGGTAAGAAAGAGTGAAATATCAAAGTATCTGTTAGTATTATGTTGATATTAAATTATACGCATCATTGTGTTGAATAATATTTTTCAGAAGTGTTCGGTACAGTTATATTTGTTTTTTAGTAGCTATAATACACATGTTTTCGAGAGAAACATTGGTGGTAGTATAGTATACTAATTTGCACTCGAATCCAATGCTGTTCAAGAATTCCAGGCGACCCCAATTTAATAAAGTTTTTACTTTGCGGCCGATTGTTTCTCTTTCGCTCGATGTCAAACTTTTTGTATATCTGAAATGATAAAAATTCCACGGATGTGAGAAGAACAGTAAAAATAGCGGGCAATCAGTGGGAAGAAATAATCAATATGATTACCTCGTGACTTTAAGATTATGTTCCTTATCTGAATCAGCGTGCAATCTGCTGGAAATAGATCCACAAGTTGCCCAGCTTGCAATGCTACATAAAATTGGGAATTCCGATGACGTAAATCCGCACTGTTCCAAGTAATGTTTTCCGACATACGACGCGAATTCGCATCTATGATGGCAGCAGAATGCAATCACTATGCCGTTAACATTGCAGATAGGTTTATCTTGCATTGCTCGGTTCAAACAGTTTATAGTTAAATCTGTAACATGTTTTTATTAAAATATTTATAGTTAAATAGGAAATAACGTGTTGGAATTGCACTACCTGTTGCAACTCCGCACAAATGTTTAGCAATGCCAACTTTGTAATTAAATGTCTTAATCTCTGCGATGTTGTTCAGCTTCAAATCAGCAATATCAGCTCTTATTCTCTTTATCACCAGAGGATACTGTTCATTTTTAAGTTTGTTGTCACTCTTATGTCTGTGACTAGAGCGATCTACCAACAAAATACAGCTGTCCTTTCTATCTTTTATCATTTGTCCCAGCCAGTAAGTCAGTTTGCCTTTACCTGCTCCAAATTCAATGAAACATGTATTATCTTGCACCAGACCTGCGCGTTCCAAGTGAGAGAGTAATGACGCAGTTTGCGAGAGATGTTTCTTAACAGCCTTCCCACACGATTCGTCATTTATTTTGCTTTGCAGTACCTCGTGTTGCAGCACTACTTCTGGAAAGCATGGTAGTTTATCTGAAAGTAATATATTAAGTTTTACAGATTTGTTTCGACGAAATGACTTTGATATTGCCAAAATTCTTACCATGGGCAGCCTTGACTTTATCAATTACTGTATCTACAACAAGTTGATTCAGCTCAGAGAGTGGTACATGCTTCAGTGTTTCATACGTTCCATCCACATTAATTCCCTTGACTATAAATGAAGGTTGAGAGTCAATTAAACGCTTAGCATTACACACCTTCAAGTGCTTGGACAATCGTGATTCATAGCATGTACTGGAAAGGGTCTTCAAACTTTATACGCACAAAGAAAGATGCTGTTTCTTGAAAAATAAAAATTTACTTACTGAGTAGGATCAAGTGGGCACTTTACTCTTTTAGCCGCAACATCATCTACTGAATCATCCACTGAATCCTGTTGATGCTCTCCGCAATATCTATTCCCTTTTTTCACTGTCATTCGACAGTAACGCTTCTTGCGTGTCACAAAATACATGCAATGATTCTCTTTTCCCATTCCGACGGTTACTTGCTCTCAATAAATTTTGAATTGACTTAACCATACTTTATACACAAGAAGGTTATGTTCAAAATTCACCATGAGGAATTTAAATACAGATTCCTACTTTATTAGTGCACGATAGAATAGAATAGAATTCGCGGAAAATGATATTCAATTTGAACATTAACTTCGTTTATATCTCATAATCGTAACTTCAAACACAATTTTAATTATTTTTAAATTTAAATCAATATTTAACGAATCAATAAAATACAAGATCTAGTATATACAATGTTGATAAAATAAGATTCTGCATCTCTAATTAAATTTCTTTAACAACAGAAATAAAGCAGAAATCTTCGAGAAATTACTTAACCGATGATACAGCAAATTAGATGACCACAACAGGATGTTACAGAAGTACATTCTATTTTTAATAATTAATAATCGACCGTTCTAAAACTTTGTTTTAAAATTAGGTTTCATATAAAAGTCTTTGATACGTAGATCTCGGTTCATAGCAAAAATCGATGTCATCCGATCGATACACTAACATATACTCATATTTACGTTCCCTGCTCGCACACATTAATGAGCTTTGCGTAATCACAGAGCCAATACCAGCAAAAGAGGACACCGCATCGAGTGTAGCCAGCCAAGACCGCAGTTAGTTATCAAAACGTCGCCAAATCAACAGCACAGTTGTCGGTGTCCGTCATGGTTTTGTGAAACGTTCCTCATTTCACGCCGTTTTCAAAATTAATTTCCGTAAAAAATCAGAGGTTAAACCGAGATCCATGGAATATTCCGCGCCCTGTGGGTTGACGATCGGTCGCGATGCTATTCTGACCTATATTTGAATTCGTGGCTGCCAAGTAGCTCTCGATGGAACACGCACAGTGTCGAGTGAAGCATCCTACGATCCAGCCGTTGACTCTAGCATTGAGATATCGTTCGCACGTCTTCGTTGCCGGGTATGTAATTACATTTCTACAATTAACCAGAGTCGCGTGTACCGTTACGGTACACTGAATAGAATTAGCCCCGCATAAGTTATACCGGGTGGCGAAATAGTCTTTGCGGAGGAAGCGTTTTGTTACGTTGTCCTACTTCGATCGATTACCAGTAGAATACGGATGTTTATGCAAAATACAAATTGTTTAACTCGATTGAAGGAAACTAAAATGAAATTGAACTGTATTATTTTAATAACGATTTTAAAGGAAAGAAGACAGCAATTGTCTCTGAATGTTTCCCATATGCTTAAGATTCGGTATTTTATCCAGTGAATTTTTACATAAATGCATACAATTCGCAGTCTAATTATTAGTTTCCATATCTTCTGTGGTTCGGTTTCCAATGTATTTTCATGCTTTTTAGTATTGGGGCTATCGAGCACTTATATTGCTTTGTAATAACAAAATTAGGTTTATTGTAACTTTTCCTAGTTTGTATTATAACGCGTGCATGAACGAAGAGGTTTATTAAAAAATTGGTTGCGAGGAGATTTTTATCATTTTAACAATTTAAGCTTTTTGTGCAAGAATCGAGCAAGTTTAGATTTTGGAAGTTGCCGGATTCTCGCATTATAATCGGCAGAGCGTATAAAATGCGTAAAATTTCATGTAGTATTATTCTACTGCGAACTGGACATGCTCAGTTTTTGTATCAAGGTCTTCAATTGTAAAAGAAGGGCGAGAAGCTGTGAGAAGTATTGATCCGTTCAGTAGTTCTACTATCAATTATATTTGATTTACAAAACGTTATCTTTGCTAGATATGCTTTGTTATCTTTGCTAGATTATATTAACTCCGACAGAAGAGTAGTTGAAGTTCTCCGGACAATTTATTACTTTACAAATGATAATGAGATGTACCAAGAAATCATTAGCTGTTTAACTGTTAAATTATCTATTATAGAATGTTGTCTCGGTGTACATATAAACAGCCATAACCAGGCTGCGGATTTTACGTATTTATAACAAAATTGGTTGATCAAGAAACAAAACAGTAACAGACATTAGCGAAACTTAGAAATATTGGTTACGTTATAAAATAACTGAAAGAAGCTTTTTCCACCCACATCATTTCTTACGATCGAATTAGAAAATTGCACGGTGTACAGCTTTTCGTCACCTATTTCTTGGAAATAATAACATAATTATTCAAAAGTTTCTATGGCTGTGCGAGTCGAGTGGAAGGAAGATCATGCGAATTGTCGGTGAAACGAGCGAGGTGTATGATCTTTCCGAATTAAACGAGGACATTAAACTAACCCAGGAATTGCGCCCTCTCGTTCTCTAGTTTGCTGTCACGTGCCAGGTAGCGGCTACCTGTTGCTACCTTGTAACACATCGAAAAATGTGCACGTCCAGCACCGAGCGCGTCTGCGTGTATCAAATCAGACAATTTTGGAGGCGAAAATGGGGCGTTCTGTTCGGTCTACTAACCATAGCCGTGTGCGTTGTCTTGATGGTCCAATTGTCAGTGAACGAGCAGGAGAGAGTGAGTCATGACACGTCCCTGGATAGTGAGACGAATGATGTGTACGAGAGTGGTACGTAAATTTCTTTTGCATCGTGCTAAAAACTGTAACTGCTAAATCGTGTTGTAGTTTTAATAAAAATTCATTCATCTTCCAGGGGGAAAAGTTCTCTTATTTTCCTTTTGTCAAGATACTGTAACATTTGATCGCTTTCTATTTGAATTTCATGAATTTTAGTTCAGGAATCGTTTCGCTACTGTACAGGATGTCCTGGGATTTTACCGCCATACTGCGGAAGCTGAATGTAATGGCCAAAGGAAAAAAAGAAATGTTACATGATGTTTGCGGATTCATGATTTGTTAATCTGTTACAGAGATATAAACAAAAATATTTATATATATTTTATGTATTATTATTATTATTATTATTTTAAGTTTCGATATTTTAGTCACTCCTCTCATCCGACATTCTTGTAACTACGCAAACCATACGATGAACACTATCAACTAATTTAATCCAGTCGATGTGTTGTTGCGCGGCAATAATTAGATAATTATCGAGTGATGGTATTGAAATGCCAAGGTTTTCGAAACGCTGAATACGCTGGTATTCACTCTGTATACGGCTTTTGTGATGGAGATGCACGGTAGTACGATCACGGGTTTTTCAACGAAAAGGAATGACTGAAATCTATGTTTGCTTTGAATGAAGAATCTATGTTTGCTTATATCTTTGTCGCAAAGCGTTAATTCGCAAACTTCATACAACATTTCTTTCTTCTTTTGGTCCCTAGATTAACCCTTAACGGTCCAATGCCGTCATACACGCGGCAGAAATCAATAAAACCGTAAAATCTGGCAGGAAACATTGGAAGAATAGACACGATTGTTTCGATGAAAATATATCAACGAAGTTTTATTAAAAAAATATTATATATATAATATATATAATATATTAATATATATTATATTATTATTAATATATAATTAATTATATATATAATATTTTTTTAATAAAAACAACAATTATTAATTATATATTTATTAATATATAATTAATTATATATATTAATAATAATATAATATATATTAATATATTATATATATTAATAATAATATAATATATATATATATTTATAATATCTCTTCTCTATATTTGATACAAAAATTTTCAGTAAAAAATTTCCCTTCATCTGAAAAACAGTCTGGACTTGGCAGTGTGTAAACTGGAAATAAATAGTTTTGGTCCCCTAAGGGTTAAGTTCTCGCAGTTCGGTCGGCAAAATCCCGAGATACCCCGTATAGTTAATGCACACATAGCTCTATTAATTACATGCAAAATAGGTAATAGTTCCTTTTGTTTGATGCAAGGATCTATAAATAATAACGATTGCTACCTCTGTTTGATAACAATAGCATAGTATAATATATTAGGTTAGAAACTATGAAACGGGCGTTGAACGATGTACATCGCGTTTTGTTTCCATCTGGTTTCGGAGAAAAATAAAATAAAAATAGGATACAAACACGAAAAAAAAATTTACGAAATGAGCAAGAAGAATACCTTTAAAATTTATAAATAAAAATATCGTGCGCGCATTACAATGAACACAGTCGCAGCTGAACACAGACTAAACAAAAACGTTCGTTTCATAGTTTACAACCTAATAGATGGGCTTGGGCAGTTAACGGTGTATGGCGTGGGCGTGGTTCCGTTACATGACAACATCTGATGCAATTTTCGGCAAATAATGACTTAAAACCTTGCAGTTGTACATTTGTAAAGAGGTTGAAACGATTTTTTAAACAGCTTGCCTCTACATAGGTCGATGAAAATGATCTTGAATACATCAAATGATAGAATAGGTGAAAGAACTCGTTTCTAGTCATGTACTAAATGACAACATCCTGTATAGTTTAATGTTATACTGACGTAAGGAAGTTGCACACAATGACTAGCCTACTTTCGCACATTATGACGCTAGGTTTACTGGACTCCATATTTTTGCCGTCGCTATTGAACGTTGTCATTAAAGAGATCTATTCTGTAATTTTACAGAATGTAAAGTGTTGATAGTTAACGTTTAATTTTATTTGAAATATTTTTAAAATTAGCAATTAGAACGATCATCGATACAGGTATAAACGATACATTTTTAAACTTCTGCGATAACGTTATCTTTTACTGCTGTTACAGTTTTGAACACATGGTACAACTTCACCGACGGTGAGTTCAGCTTTAGAATGAATCATTTCTGTGTTTGCTATTCGTTTGAGCTGCAATTTTGGTTTCTGTGCGCGAGTAATGTTTATTATCACGACGGCGAAGGTCATTGTTGCTTTCTGAAATCACAGTGACTCGTACGATACACAATGCAGTTAACGTGTGTAGTCTCAGCACGGAAAGAGATTATTTTCTAATCTCCCATTACCTTCTTGCTGTGGCAGGGTCGCGCAATCTTGCCAATTCTTTTTATTCGTATTCGAATGTTTCAATCTAGGTCATTGTAATTCCTCGGTGCTCTGGACAATATTTCATATCATAAAAATTATTGAATTGAAAAAGAAAAATATATTGTAATTCGCAATTGATTGCACATTTTCCGGATTTTGTATTCATTACAATTGGTTGTGGTAGATACGTGCAAAACGCTGCTATTGTTATCGCGCTTTTAACGTTGTAATTTGTTGTAATATGGAAGACCAATTAAAACATTCTGTGGAAAACAACATCCTTGAGCAGAATACAGTACAATGAAAATAACCTTACGTTATTACAAAGATCCTACATTACCAAAACTAACAATTTGAAATCGTTACGCTTTTGCAGCTTCTGGAAATTAAAGAAAGTTTGTAATTGTAATCGTTTGCAATTTCATTTCATTCAACTTCGTCTAATCCTATTTATATAATATTATATTTAATTTGCATAAACATCTACAGTCTAGTAAGTAGGGTAAGGTTGCTACGATTGGGCCATTTAACTTTGGTGCGGTGTTAGTAAGAACATTTTATCTATAAATTAGAAACAACAGTTTTTTAAAATAAACTATTTACTTTATTATTCGTATGCTCAGTAGCAGTCGGATAAAATTAACCATTTTCTAAAATTAACTGAGAAACGAAATGCAGTCGCTTTTGAAACTACAATAAGTAGAAATTGCAGTATAAACAAATGTTAAAAAAACCCTAATAAAATTCATCAAACTGTGACTTTGTTTCGAAGATATTCGAGATTTAAAATTTACCTGTTCGCAATACTATCACAGTTATATAAACAACAGTCACAAGAAGAAGTTGTAGCTGCATTAGGAGAGTTTCCGACTCGTACCTCTTTGGACTGTGGTTCGAATCCTTGACCATATTATACATTTACTTTTTCTTACTCTTCCTTTTTTTATTTTGTTTCATTCTTGATGGCGACATTTCGCTTGTAAGTAGGCTACAGCCTAGAGCGGCAGTTTTTACGGGCTGGCGGTTTTTTAATAAAATATCGCTTTAGGTTTTTCTATAAATAGCAAAAAATCTTACCTTAAATCGACCTTAAGTAGATTTACAACTGATTATTATGAATTCAACAAATGATATTAACTTTTCTTATATACGTACTATGGCAGCGCTGGTTCAATGATTGCGATCTTACCCTACTTTGGAAGTATGACTGCGGTCACGATCGAGTGTCAAAGAACTTACTAAATATACAGGGTGTCCCAAAAATGTCTCGAAATCAGGAAATGGTTCCGAAGATGTTCGAAAAATGTTCCCAAGATCATTTGAAGTATCTTTCTCTTTAGCGAAAATGCAATCCGCGGCTACGTTTAGGAGTTATTAACGAAAAACAGTGACCAATGAGAGGCGAGATCAGCTGAGCCAATGGGCGGAAGCCGGCTTCGTGCGCTCTTTGGCTGGACCGCTTCACGCCAGCCGAGCTCGTCTCTCATTGGTCACTTTCGTAATAACTCGTAAACAACGCCGCGGATCGTATTATCGCTAAGGAAAAAGTTATTTCGAACGACCTCAGCAAACCCTACATTTTCGGATTGCGAGACATTTTTAGAACACCCTGTACACAAAATGAAGACATCAGTTCATTTGCAGTATAAAACAAATAAAACTTTTCTTCTATCCTGAACATCATGGTTTGCGCGGACTGTAGATATCGATATTTGTTATCGGATGGCGTCAGCACCTGCAATTCGAATAATATACCTGTTGCGTGCCGTATGAAATCGAATATGCACGTACAGATGGCACATCATGAATACTAATAATACGGCGTGTCGTCGAGGTTATTACGATTTAATGACGTATACTTGCCAGCACGGAATTTAAAACAAATAATAATTTCGTACAGTGTCCTAATAAATTTCAAATAACGTCACGAGATAATAATTCATTCTTATGGCAATGGTATTTTGTGTATATTAATTTTGTACTTTATATTTAACTTGGACAACCAACATTTCCCGTATACTTCTTTTTCTTGGCTATTCCATTGCACAGCAGTTGCAAATACAGTTTCTTTAACCTTGGAGCATTTCAGTTTGATTAGCTTTGATCGTATACATAAGCAAAAGTATGTGAGTAAATTACGAAATTTTTAGAAAGAAGACAGTACGATGCTTCGCAATCTGACAGCATGATTATTTTGAAATTCTGAAGGCTGTTTTATGATTTCTTTTTTTTTTCTTCCCTTGGGCAAATTTGACGACTGAGACTCGTCGTGAACTTGTTTTACCTAAGTTACGAATAACGAATTTAATTCGTCGTTCAAACTAATCGTTCAAACTTTTAATTACTATATATATATATTATATTGCTCAAATAAATGAATTCTCAAACAAAATCTACTGCCTTTATATGTACAGGGTGTCCCAAAAATGTCTCGTAATCCGGAAATGGCGGGTTCCTCAGATCATTTGAAGCAACTTATTTCTTTACAAAAATTTTCTCCGAGGCACCGTTGACGAGTTATTAACGAAAAACAGTGACCAATAAGAATCGAGTACGGCTGACGCGAGGCGGCCCAGCCAACCAGCGCACGAAGCCCAGTTCCGCTCGTTGGCTCGGTCGCCTCGCGCCAGTTGAGCTGGGATTCGACCGCTCGACCGCTGGCGCCGTTGGCTCGGCCGCCTCGCGCCAGCTGAGCTGGGATTCGACCGCCCGACCGCTGGCGCCGTTAGCTCGACCGGCTCGCGCCAGCTGAACACGCTTCTCATTGGTCACTGATTTTCGTTAATAACTCGTTAACGGTGCCGCGGAGAAAATTTTTGTAAAGGAAGAAGTTGCTTCAAATAACCTGAGGAACCCGCCACTTTCGGATTGCGAGACATTTTTGGGACACCCTGTATACTATTTCGCGCGTCAGAAAATTTTAATCCATTCCAAAGGCAAGAATTTTTTCAAATAAATATGTACCCAAATGTATCATTTGATCTAATCGATGCTTCTAGCGTTAAGAAGCTTTTCGAGATAAATCGATATCACGAGTTGTCTAATTTAATTGTGCCGTGTCGTGTCGTGTCGTGTTGCTCTGCTTGTTAGATAGCGTCACTTATCGTAGACGGAAAAAGCATTCAACGATGAGTTCACACAGTTATCGAAACGTGAATTTGTAATCTATTGTAGGCGCTCCCTGGTTCAATGGAAAGAAGCTATCTCGTGATTCACCGGAATGGGGACGTTACATGCGGGATCTCCGGCGAGATTGGATACTTTGGAAGTATGATTCGAATAAATCGTACAACCTCGCGGAACCGGAAATCAAAGATCAATCGATGGGCCAGGCGGAAGAGATTCGAAAAATCCTCAAAGATAAGGTAATTTCGATTGTTTCTTCATATTTCGTGATCATATTTTGTTCACCATAAATACAGTCGGTATGTTACTCGAGTAAAATCAGCTGTTTAAAAATAAACGAAAAAAAAGATACGAAGTATGCATATCTTCCAAGATCATTAGCAATATATGACAGACTCGCTGAGGGGTTCTAGAATGAGTAAATGGATTTTCTAAGGATTACCGAAAGGTCCGCGGAATTTCTAAAAGCTGTTCGAGTCGTTTAGGGGATTTTGAGACCGTTAGAGCCACTTTAGGCTCGCTAAAGAGATCTCAGTGGTTGCTGGAAAGATTTCAACACGATTGATATTCTATGCGTAAAAAGTAATCGGTGATCAAACAAACTGGAGTTTCAAAATTCATTTTCCAATCGTATTAGAGAAAATTGCAAATTAAATTCATGAAAAGAGGAGATTGTCCTCTAACTGTTCACCTTCGAAAGATATAGTTACATTTAATCAGTTTTCTTTGCTATTTTTTTCTATCATAGCTGTTTCTATTATAATTATATTTTTGTACTTCAGGGTGTCACGGAGATCACGATGTCACAGATCGTTGAACTCATTCTGATCTTGGCTATTGCATGGCAGTGTTACAAATTATACGCATATAATCGCGTTTAAATGTATACGGTGATCCTGAAATCCTCAAATGCGCGACGTTAACAAATATCTTTCACTTGCCAGAATGTTTTTACTTTCGCGATCACGTTCTTCTGTCACATTTTCTTCTACTGTCAACGATCGGACTGTGAACTTCATGCATTTATGATAATGTTACGACTGTATGGAGCTGTAGCAGCAATGAACTTGTCTTCTACGATTTGCAATAGAACCAAGGGAAGTCGACTTCCGAATTGAGATTGTGGTTTCCGGTTAACCGGAAACTTAGTTCTTGACGAGATCAGCAGCTGGCAGTTAGGCGTCACAGAAATTCGACTAGATTCATTGTAAATAAATAATTACCTTGAGGGTTTCGCTGTTATTAAATGTTCATCGTCGAGGAAGATCAGTACGAGAATTAAAATGCTGTAAGAAAACTTTCCAACTTATATATATATATTAACCTCTAGGCTACTGTGGGCGCCTACAGGCGCTTAGAAATTTTGCGTTTGTGACCCTGAGAGCGCCTATAGGCGCTCGACGCAGTTTGGTTTTCTGACACGAATAAATATCAATTTTATTGATATTTATTCCGATAGATCTTATCTCAGTTAGGCGAGAGTGAATGCTAATTTCGCTGGGGTATATATTCCGTTAGTCGCCTGAGAGATATTTAAATAATTAAATATTAGCGAAATATTACAATAAGAGCTGTTAGAGTAAGTAAGCAATGCGATGTAACATCACGTATTTATCAATGTTTCAAATTATATCACGCTTTATTAGACTATTAGATACCTTGTGAAAGAAGCTTTACATTAATATTAAATTCGTAATATTTATAGTAATTCGGTTCGGAGAAATAAATAAATGTTGTTTCAATGTAGTGACATTCAGTTTTTTGCTTATTGAAATATGTTCTCGCAAAAATGCATTATGTAACTCAATTCCTGCCGTATGGTACGGCCGGTGCGCCTCAAAGTCTGCCGTAGTCAATGGAGTAGAATGATCGAAGTCAAGAAGAAGATTGGTCGAGAAGAGCCTAAAGATCGAGCCTGATAATAGAATAGGAACATAAGGTGCTGAAGTGGAATGGAACAAATTTATTCTTTTTGTCCAGGTAAATGGATTCTTCGTGGAGTGCGGAGCCTACGACGGCGAAACACGGAGTAACACGTTGGTTTTGGAGCGATACCTCGGCTGGACAGGTCTGCTGGTCGAAGCCGATCCCTTGAACTTCAGCAAAATGTTGTTGAAGAATAGGAAAGCTTACCTGACGCCCACTTGCCTCGCAATACGGCCGTATCCCTCGGTGGTACGAAAGTTCGTAGTCTCTCGCAAGCTGCTGTTCCACTTATGCGCATACCTAACGCTATACTACGATCGTTGTTGTTCGTCTATCACGTCCGTTCAATTTGCAGAGTTCGTTCCTGATGGCAAAGAACGTGGGTCGTCTTCACGAGCCTAACGCAACAGACAGTCATCTGCCAAACTCGCCGGACGTGGCCTATAGCGGTGTGCATCTCTCGGTGCAGTGCATTCCTTTCATAGATCACATGATGGCCCTAAATGTCACCACCGTAAATTATTTCAGCCTTGACATCGAGGGCAACGAGTTGCAAGTGCTAAAAACTATTCCTTTCGAAAATATAAACATCGAGGTGAGCATCTGTTGGGCGACTTCGATGCAATGAAATCATTGTAACGTTTACATTTTTCTATAGTAAATTCACTCGATAGAAGGCTTTTTGTTGTTCTTACTATTTTGACGAACTTTATGGGATGTTTCTAATGCAATTTCTCTTATTTCAGACACTATCGGTGGAGTTCTCGCACGTCGCAAGCGGGAAGAAAGAATTGATTAGCTTCATGAAGACGAAGGGCTACGACGTTTTCAGCTCTGTCGTGAGAACCGATAAACTAGCTCACGATATAATATTCGTGAAACACAATTTAGGCTCTATTGTTCATTAGTGCGATAAATATATTTATTTATTAGTTCTTACGTCTGCTTTCTCACAGAGTCATTCCTATACTAGATATTCCAACACTGTAATAAAGTCCCAAACTTGTTTTAGAAATTCATTTCTATTGCAACAATTTGCGTAAGTTGAATTTCTTTAGGATCCTTGAATTTCCGTAGTTTTGGAGTAACTTGACATAAATTTTAGGCTGTGCGACTTTTGTGTAAGATAGAAATTTTAATATTGTTTCATTCTTTCTTGCATTTCATCTACTCATTTCTCTCATAAATGTATAAAATCCGTGGTCTATACATTTCTTTGACTTTGCCCGATTATACGACTGTCGTCGCGTTAGTTTTGGAGGGATGTTATTTGGTGGTGTGTTAATAGTAATAATTTTATTTTACAAAATATTTACAAGGAACATACATTTCGCATAACAAAATAAAGTGTTTCTCTGTAGGTACTCCATAGGACTCCGCGTGTCGGCGTAACGCGTCTAAACGAAAATAAATATCTTGCAAACAATTAGGAACGAATGGAGCCCGTGAGATAAATGATCTCGTATAATTCGTGCGATTCTTTACAATTCTCTCCAGGCGTTTAATCCGTCGATTCGATTACGGCCCTCCGCATCGTCTTTAACCGAACAACACGGAGGCGAATCATTTGCTGTACATTCGTTATTTTTATTAAGAAATTTTACAAACTAGTGGAATGATTCAATGTACAATTAAAGCGACCCGCTACTTATTGCCACCTGATGAGCAATAAATTTCGAATACATTCGACAGCAACGACTGCGAATCTTTATGCGAGAATGATCTAAAATGTACAATGCGAGAGATGTTTCTTTCGTCGAGTGAAAGATCTCTCGCGGTAAAAATAATGAATTCTCGTTACAATATACACATCGTTTTGTATTTTACAATTGCATAAAGATCCGCAGTTCAGCGATAACAAAAATATTCATTTGCGCCCCGTTCTCACGGTCATCGATAAATAAATAACATACTTAAAGCTTTCGGACTAGCCTCGCCGTCTTCGTTCGTCGTTTATAGATCATGGGAAAGGGACATCGAACGCGTTTAGGTGATTACAGCTACTTATTGTAACAACAGCCATCGGTAGGCGCGAGGAGAGCGTTCAATTACTAATTGCTGTTTTTTTCTTTCACGTGTTCGTGCGCGTCCATTCGCGAGAGGATTGTTAATACACTCTCCACGTTGATACATTATTAACGTGTACGATCGACGCACTTGTGTCGTGCCTTATAGCATACAAATATAATAATAAAATTGTATTCACTCTGTTTCCGTCGATGTTCAAGAAATAACCCTTTGCGGTCCAATATTAAGATGCACTCTATCTAGATAATCTACGTCGACATCATTGTAATGCAACTACTCTGCCATACTTCGTGTCCTGAAATTCGCAATTCGATCGTAGATACCAATTTTGACAGTGGATAACACAAACCGATGTATTTAATATTAATAAATTATACTCGATGTTAAATAATAAAAATATAAGAAAATGATGATGCTGTAGTTTCATGTGGTGAACATTGAATTGTGTATGCAGTAGCAACCATCGCTATTCGAATTAGTATGTATTGCATGATCTTCTTATTAAATTAAACAATAATGGCGACGTCAAGCTATGAAGAAGATTGAAAACGCTATTTCATACAATAATAGTTCGAAAAGAAATGATCAGGCTGTGCTGCTGATTCGGACACGCGATTGCGTGTTCATCTATTCAATCGTCTTTGTGTAGCCGTCGCAGTTACGATTTTGTGAATCTAATTTTGCTAGCGCGAGCATACTTACGGTTCAAATTGTTTCTCGGACGATCGTGGTGTTACGCGTTGTCTTTGCGCGTGTGTTTGTTCGAAGCCAGTGTCGGTTTTGTGCCGGTGGCTGCGTGCTGGTGCAAATGATGCGTTTCGATTCTACTCGCTACAGTGCTCTAGAGTGTGATGCGTGCGATGACAGCGATGATTCGGAAAAATAAACCCAGGATGATACCCGGCCCGCAAAGGGTTGCCGTTTCTATGGCTTGGCATTCGCGTTTCATTAAACGATACTCCGAACATGGCTGGCGAAAAGGATGGGCTGTCACGAATTGAAATCTCTCCTCTTACTATCGTGTTGCTTTTGTCGGTCCAACTTATCGGCGACCCCGTCAGAAGAATAACGAATCTCTGACCCCTAAAATACAGTAACAGAAAAGATTCGGTTAATAGAGGGGCGCAGAGAGAACGTTTTAACTATGTCGGCAAGCGTTATAGGAACTGAGAACACGCATGATGGGCAACGCCAGGCATGGGCTTGGCTCTGCGGGGATCTGGAAGCGATTAGACCACGTCCACTCGAGCGACTTCGTGCTGAGAGACGGTGGACACGTCTCGTTTAGGCCAGTAATAGTGGTTCAAGCGACAAAGGACGGGACCACTGGGATCGACCAGACCACGCTCACTTAGGGAATTTTATCTCGAAAGATAGTAGGATTCTAAGAGATCACGAGATCACGATCTCAGAGATCACGTTTCGGGTGAGATGTTTCCTTTGAGCCGGTAACAGAGGTTCAAGTGACAGAGAACGAAACTATTCGATCCCGCGCGGCTTTGGGAGCAATCGGACCACGCTCACTCAGCACATTACACGGAGAAAGGTCCAAACAGATATCTAGGAACTTATTAAATAACCACTGAACCGTGCTGAAACGACTTGTCTAGTCTATATTGTACGAAGAAAACCTTATATACTCTACTATAATGTAGCATAACTGTAAAGAACCAAAAAAGAGAGGTTTTCGAAAAATGTATAGATATCAAGTTAACAAATCGTCTCTTAGACCAGAAGTTCTCCATCGCTGTCATTGCCGAATATACAATATACTCTTTGCTCGCGCCTCTGTCCTACAAACTCGCAGAAAGTTAGCCTCTGTTCTACACACGTTTAATCTTCAACAATCTTAAAGATTTGTACGGTTCACGGACGAAACGGTTACTCTGGACGCTGTTCGGCGTTCACCGTACGCGACGCGGCGATTATGCTTATATACTTACAAGCACTCGGATAATTAAAGCTCTACCGACCTCAACTTGGTTTGCAAACAGGCGAACGATCGCGTACAACGTATGCTCAAAGACTTTCTACCAACTAGAAACATACTCATCCACGGACACAGATCCTCTGCTCACGAGGTACGCTGCTCCAATACTTACACGGTCGATTAATTAATTACAGTTCCCAAGCTTTCTACACAGTCTGTCGTTCACTGTTTCACACTTTATAATCGAATCGGAAATCATGCGAAAATCGTTTCTCTCGGCTAGAAAAGCATCCTCAAACTCTGTAAATGTGAATGAGAATTAAATGTTTGCATATTACGAAACGTCTACTGAAATGAAACTAAAATGGTCCGTGACAAAGTAGTATCATTCGTCTGGAAACAACAAGAAATATACAGGGTGTCCCCAAAATATCTCCCAATCCGGTGATGGGGGGTTCCTGAGATCATTTAAAGTAACTTTTTCCTTAGCGAAAATGCGATCCGCGGCTTTGTTTACGAGTTATTAACGGAAAACACTGACCAATAAGAGCGAGCTTGGCTGGCGCGAGGCGTCACAGCCAACGGGCGCACGAAGCCAAGTTCCGCTCTGATTGGTCGCCGTTTTTCGTTGATAACTCGTAAACAAAGCCGCGGATTGCATTTTCGCTAAGGAAAAAGTTACTTCGAATGACCTCAGAAATCCTCCATTTCCGGATTACGAGACATTATTAGGACACCCTGTATAATTTTTCTTTAATTCGCGTTCAGATTTCACATAAAAGTGGTCAATTTGGGAAGAGGAGACACGATTATTCGAGCCTTGCGTCTCGTTTTTATAGTTACCTGTCAACAAGTATAAAAACGAGGCGTAAGGCTCGAATAATCGTATCTCCTCTTCCCAAATTATCCATTTTTGAGCACGAGTTAGGGAGAAATTATTGTAGTCGCCTGACTTGTAAGATTAAAGTGGCAAGATCGAAATGATCTGAGAACGTACCGCTTTGTCAGGACCAGTGAAAAACGTGTCAAATCGACGCGAGGGTTAACGAAAGAATACGGATCCCATCAATACGACCTAATCAGATGACGAACGACATTGGTGGTTCCATGGAATGGTAAACGATCACAGTCGATCAAGGACGGTTCGCCCGTCATTCACACGTAACTCTCCACGTTTTTCCTACTGGCGTTCCCGCTAACTATAGTCGTCTGAAGCTTAATCTGTTTGTCGGTGGACACGTGGTTACACGGTACCTTCACACTGCAGCTTTTGTTGCTGCTGTGCCGCCTCCAGAAGTCCGATTGGTTGCTGCTGCAGTTCGTAGAGCCGGTATTGTAGGTGCCCGTTCTGTCCGACGTTTTCTTCTTTTTCCTGCGGTTGGGCCCCAGACCGCAAAGCCGGAGAAAACCCTCCCGGAACTTCGTTGACATCAGGTTGTACAGGATCGGGTTGATCGCCGAGTTCAGGTACAGCATCACCCGACAGAAGTAGAGCAGGCAGAAGTAGTTCTCGATGCCGATGTCGATGATCGTCTCCGTCGAAACCACCAGGATCCACAGGGTGAACGCTCTGAACGGTAGCAAACACAGGAAGAAGCACAGCACCACCGTTCCGAGCATCAGCATCACCTGCTTGCGGTACTTGAGCAAGTTGTTCGACGAGCCCCGGCTGATCGTCGGGTTCGCCATCAGGTGCAGCGCGATCACCGTGTACAACACCACCAGGATCAGCAGCGGGATCACGAAGAAGATCACGATCGTCGTCACGAAGAACGCGATCATCCAGGTGCTGTCCGCCTCTGTGTTGCACGTCGGTATGTCCTCGTCCTCGTATCTGACCATCAGCAGGATCGGGCTGCGAACAGACCGGTCGGACACAGTGAGCTAATTATGCTATTAGATCGACTTCTTCGGATGTACAGAGATATTCTCTCTTTTTTTTGAGAGAGATATTAACACTCGCATTTTTAACATTGTTTGTTGATACTGCAAATAGTGAAAACGTTAGAAACATTTGAGGAGCGCGTTACCGACAATTTATTTCAATTGTTAACGCTTTACCGACCGGTAGCCTGTTAATCGGCTTCTTCTGTTCAACGCTTATCGACCGATAGCCTATACATCGACTTTTTGTTCTCAACGCTTACCGACCAGTAACCTGTTAATCGGCTTCTTGTGTTCAACGCTTATTGACCGGTAGCCTATACATCGGCTGTTTGTTCTCAACGCTTACCGACCGGTAGCCTGTTAAACGGCTTTTTGTTCCCAACGCTTACCGACCGATAGCCTACAAATCGGCATTTTACTCCGACCAGTAGTCTGCGCTTCGGTTGTCATGGCAACCGATGATTTGTTATCTATTATCGAGGCGTTAGATTGAACTAGTATAAGCCTCCCATATTATTATCAATTGTTTAAATATTGTATACTTTTCACGATGAATAAAATATACAGAATAGATAAAATAAATATTGTTTCATGCTAATGTTATAAAAATATCAAAACATTATTAGATCCAGTTACCGTATAATAACGCGGAAAGCGAATAATGTATAAAATAATAATAAACAAAGTTTGATTCAACATTTCTATAAGCGAAAGATAAAGCGCGTATAAGCCGATGTTGTTCGTGTTTACGGCCGAATGACCGGTGAGACGTGTAGGGGACAACCGCTACCGGTTAATAAAATGTTAAGAAAAGATATAAACCAACGAAGGAAATTGTTACTTTGCACAAAGATTGAAGTCGAAGTTTACGAACGTTTCCATGTGCAGTATGTTTCATTCACCTTCTCCAAACTGCTTTTAAACCTAACCTGCTTTTTTCATACATTACCGTTTTACCTGCAAGAGTAACGAAGACGTCGAAGCGAATAAACAGCCCTAGTGAAATAGAAAGTAAACACTATACAACTTCCGTTCTGAAGGGTTAACAGTTAAAAAGTTTTGACAACATTAAAAGCTAACACCGAACAAGCTTTCTAGAAACGAAGTGAATGGCACGCCGGTGATTAAAAGGAAACTGAAGCATTAATATATTCCACTCAGAAAGTTAGCGCCAGAAGAGGGCGCTGCTGCAGGAAACAGAAACTTGAAAGTTTGTTTTAAGGTTAGGTGTAAACTCGTGATCTCCATCTTCTCTCGTACTCTTCGCCAATTGTATTCCTTCCAAATAACCTCGACTATGTATTTTCTACATTCGTACCCGCGTATCGCTACGTTAAGTTCGTACACCAAGGATGGCTCTAAGCGCAAGAACAGAATGCCGAGAGGTTTTTGGCGATGTGTCTACTAAGCGTTCAAACGAAGTGCTCCTCCTGTTCCGTGGAGTTAGTTCTCCTGGTGCCACCGAAAACGCTCTTCAGCCTGATTTCTCTGCAAGTGACAGCTCCAAATAGTTGGACAAAGCCTTTCCTGAACTTGGTGCTCATCAGATTATAGAGGACAGGGTTTACAGCGCTATGGATGTAGCACATGATCCTGCTGAAGTTCAGCAGCGCGAAGAACGCGTCCTGGTTGATGGCGGCGATCTGTTCCACCGGTGCTACGATTATGAACACGACCAGGATCCTGTACGGCGTCAGGCAAAGGAAGAAGCTGCTAACCACGGACATCAGCATCGTGATCGCGTGTCTCTTGGCGCGGGCGTGGTACGAGTCGCTGGTGTTGCCGGCGATTGATCGGTCGGGCATCAGGTGCTTGATGATCACCCCGTAGAGGATCAAGAGGATCAGCAACGGCACCAGGTAGAACAAGAGGACCAGGAGCAAGAAGAAGACCACGGTGGCGGTGGTGTCGGCCATGGTCAGGCAGACCGGGACAATGTTCTTGTCCTGGTCGGTCTTGCTCTCCTTCAGACGCATCTCTCGGTACTGGGAGACCCAGATTATGGGACTGCAAGCAGTGAAAATTAGTGTGGAGGATCATGGACACCCGAGCGGGATGCTGAGGGTACTCAAGCGGGGTGGTTACGATCGATGAGTGGCGCTTTGGTGATGCTGTGTTCTCTCGGTGAGCATCTCGGTTTCAGAAATGTTATGGCTTGTTTATCTTTGTCTGCTCCTCTCCTCGATCGGCCTGCGCCGACGCAGTGGTTTCCACTGCTGCTATTCTTGTAAAATACGCAAACGCGTATTTTATATGTTTAATTTAATATTTATATAATTTATTTTTTATTTAATATGTAATATTTTATATATTTAATACGCGTTTGCGTATTTTACAAGAATCGGCTCATTTGATCCCGACAGCCGCACGGCTTACGCCACGAGCCTTTACAGTTACGTTCTCTGTCATGTTAACCACGAAATTAGGTGAAATCGAAGCAGTCTATTCTGTGGAACGAAGTCTGGTAAGTCTATTTTCTAGTTGCTCCTCGTTTTGGCTTTTACAAAATGTGTCCTTGAAGATTGATATTTGTAATAAACATTTGCAGTCTGCTGAACCTCTTGGATTCAGCGATTAATCTCGGAGAACTAGATTCGAGGATTTAAAACAGAATATCGATTAAAGATCGACAAGGTGGAACACGCAACGAGAAAACACAGTAACAGGAAAGCCGTTCGTAGCCCTTCAACCACAACCAACAGAGTCGTGACGCTTTCCATTAAGCATGAAGCTCGCGATTTCAAATGCTGGGTCGAACTCTTGTCACTCGAGGAAGGACACAAACGACTTCGCGATACACCTGTGATCGTCCGTGGACTCCACGGTGGTGAGTTTAGCGAAGCGGAGAACAAGTTTGTTAGCGGTTATTCGGTCGACGGGTGATCGACTGCGGTGACGTCCTCGGATGCGAGTTTCCGAACACGGGAAATCTGGTTTCGATTAAACGACACGGTGGAGTGGGATCTCGGTTTATCCTGTAGAAGTGTCCCTTGGCAATATCAATTTTAACACTCGTTTGGTTAGTATACAACACGAAATGATGAGATATTCAGAGTCGATTTTCCAGAGTCTGACGCGATGGAAATCGAAGAACGAGGCGAGTACATTAAATTCTCCATAATTGACGCTCGGATTGTACACATAAATGGAGTGCTTTGCGATTCGTTTTTATAGTTACCGATTGTCAACAACTATTAGGTTGGGGAATAAGTTCGTAGCGTTTTTATATTTTCTTTTATTTTACAACGATTTCTTGCTGTTTGACAAAGTGTATAATATTCATTCGATAGAGCTCTTTCTGCTCTACAAAACTGTGCTAATCGTCTTTTTGAGTAGTTTAATTTTTTATTACTTTTGAGGCTTAGAAATGGAATATCCAGGAGATAAAAAGCAACATTTTCGACAGCTTCTCTTCTTCGATTTTCATCGAGGCCAAAAGGTGCCGAAGCAGCCCGGGACATTTGCAACGTATACGGAGAAGGTGTCATAGGCGAGTCTACAGCACAGAAATTGTTTGCGAAGTTCAAAAATGGCGATTTTGACGTCGACGACACGCCCCGCAGCGGAAGACCTTCCGAATTCGGCGAAGAGCGTCTCAAAGCACTTTTGAAGGAGGACGGTCACCGAACAAGTCGTGAATTGGCCGAAAAAATGAACTGCGATTATAAAACGATTCTCAATCATCTTCATTCAATGGGATTTGCCGAAAAATTGGGAGTCTGGGTGCCTCACGAGCTTAACGAAAACAACAAAGAAAATCGCCTTCAAAT